TGATGATGATGATGATGCCTTCGTTACCTATCTTATTTTGGACACGTGTTTTATGTTTGGTGAGTTTTATTCTGGTATTATTTTCTTTGATTTAAGATTTCGAGGAGATTTAGTCCATCTTTTAGTATACCTTAGAGTTACTTCTGTTTTCTTGTTTCTTCTCTTTTTGCGAATCTGGCCAATTAATAATAATAATCATCATTATTATTATAATGTTTACCTCGTACCTCGAATTCTTAAAACAATATTTAAAACAACATCAACAATAAAAGCATATTGGGGGGTCGGCGGCATCAGGCGTCAGCCTGCTTAATAGCTGGCAAATGGAGGTTCATCCGCCCCAGCATGGAGCCATAGGTTATGCCACATGGCCACCTGTGAAACGTATCCATCGTGTGTTCGTGCCTTTTTGAGGGGAATCACGCATATCATGTGCTGGTGCCAGCCCCAAAAACGCCCAAGCGCCCAAACGCCAAGGTGGTCTACACGGCGTCAAGGTTCGGCGACCCCGACAGGGCAATGGCCCTGTGAAAGAGGCCGCGGCTGGCATTGGAGGCCAGCAGCGCAAAGACGTTGGTGCCTCCGGAGCTCTGCCCCAGGATGGTGACGCGGTCCTTGCCAAGTTCTGACGGGTCCCCTGAGATGTGGCCGCTTCTCAAAATAGGGGTACCCTAAACTGGTAGGCGTTGGTCCTCTACATGGCAAAAAGGTCGGTAGAAACACCCATGCAAATTGGAGCCTTAAAAAGGTCGGCTTTCTTGTGGCCGTCCTTTCCAGAATCGGCGGGTTCAAACCCAGCGATCCAGGCTGAAAAGTCATAACTACAACCCCCGGATTGGCTCCACCTAAAGCGAAACCCATGAGAACCGGGTCCCTCGGTGCCATTGGACTTCCAGAAGCTCTTGCGCAAGGATGTATGTGCCATGTTTAGGAAGCAAAGCAATTAATTTCCTCCCAAGAACAAAGGGAACAGAACCTGAATGGATCAGTTCCTTTTGTTCGAAGTGATGCTCTTCCCCCCTGGCTACTAGGAAAGCAAACGACTTCAGAACGCAAGACATTCCCAACGGCTGGCTGATAGCGTGGCTTCTCTCTCTCTCTCTCTGGCCTCTGCATCCCTTGAACATTATCTATTTGTCTTGGTTTGCTTCATTCATTGCATCAGCATGAAACCAGGCCAGCAGTTTGATGATCCGTCCCAGGGCCTCCAAGTAACAGCGGACATGTCCGTCAATATCAACAGCTCTTAAACAAACAAAGGCCAAGCAACAACCAAACAACAACCATCGCAATCAATCAAGCATCAACACATATAGTCAGTTGCTGGTTGCTTTTGCTGGTTGCTGGTTGCTTTTGCTGGTTGCTGGTTGCTTTTGCTGGTTGCTGGTTGCTTTTGCTGGTTGCTGGTTGCTGGCTCTTGTTCAGTTGCTGGTTGCTCTTTGCTTTCGCACCCCGAAAAGCCTCCCGCGTTCCTCCCTTTCGCCGAGGCTCCGGGTCGCCGCCGAAAGCGCGAATGTTCTGCCTAGCAGATCTCCCCGCCCTAGCGGGACATGGATCCCCGATCCCACAAGTCTTTGTCGTTTTGGCACCCACAAAGCGAACATGGAGGGAAAACATGTTGTGGGCTTGGCTGCTCTTGACCCCCCCTGCAAAAAGTTTAACTTTTTGGGGGGGTTTAGTGGGAAACACCTTTGTTTCACAAAAAGTTAAAGTCTAAAGATCCAACCCAATAGCAGTCAAGCGGGGATGTCCCCTGTCCATACATTTCTGCAAGTTGGGATGATGAACCTCTAGCGCATACAAAAAAGACAAAAGTAGAGGGCCTTCGTTGGGAGCTCCTCTAGCATCGCGTTGCAAGGGAAAAGGCGAAATCTTGCTGAGGGCCAGCGAGTCCCTCTTGGCCAGTGGGTCATAGGCGGCAAGGTGGCTTGAGATCGGAGTGAAGTTGCTAGGCCAGTGGGGACCAGGGTTGGTCATTTTCGATTGATCAGCCAGTCCCTTCGATTCAAAGGGGAACCAAAATAGCGGCTTGATCATGTTTAGAAAAGGGGTGGGCCCCATAGACACCACAACCCTAAACATGGCAAGCAGGGAAAGCAATCACATTTTATTTTGGGACACCCTTTTGGGTTGCTACTAGAAAATGGCTCAAACTTAGGGCTCTGAACATTAGCGTTAGTGGGTTCCCTGAGCAGAAACCACTGAGGGTTGAAGATTCAAGGGATGAAATTCGACAAGACCCAGCAGGCTTTGCCCGGATTGACCAAAGTCAGCGCCATTCACTGGGTCAATCGGCTTGCCAAAAGGTCAACACCTCCCCCCACATCTTGAGGACCGTGGGACAAACACAACTGACTTCAGCAACGACCGGACGAATCCGGGTCTCTGAGCACTGAGTGCGCGACCTTTAGGGAGTTTGGGGGTGGCCAATTAAAAAAAGCACAGCAACAACTTCAGCAACCTGAATCATGGGATCCATCGGCTGATGTACCTTCAACCCATGAGCCCGTTTCACCCCGGTTCGGCCAGCTCGATGCATTCGTGCAGGGCCGGGTGTTGCATAGACAATCTGAACGACTTAAAATATTAACTAAGATGGGGGATCCTGGCATCCCTAATCCTGTAGCCCGTAGCGGGACACCACAGCTAAGGATCTTGCGGAGCATTTCACCCACCCTTCATATCACGGTATCTGGAGTACCTGAACCCAGTTTCTCAATTGGGGCATGCCAAAATGGTCCAAACCCAAGTGCCTAAAGCCCGAGTCCCGCTCAGGAAGTGAGGCCAACGTCTCCGTGGGCGGCAAGGAAGGTGTTGGTGGATCGATCCGAGGTGCTGGACCCATTGCAGGGCCAACTGCTGATCCGTGATGCCCAGGTTGCCGCTGGAACCCCTCGGGTCCACCGCGGACAACTCCTGGGATGTGGGCGGGGACTTTGACGGGTTTGGTTCTGACGGGGGTTTTCACGGGGTCATAGAAGCCAGCGGCAGGAAGTTCTACCAAAAACTGGCTGCAAATACCACGACACATGGAGGAAACTGGTTGCACATACCCCAAAGCACGGAGATGTCCCGTAGAATGTTCTGTAAGAAACTGATTTCTTAGCTGGTAACCGTGAACCCTCTGCAACTGAGGTGAGCTTGCTTAAGAGCGGCTGCGGGTGCTTCCAGCAGGCGCCCTTGGGCCATTCCTGATACTAAGCCACAGGCAGCAGAGCTGTGCCATCTACTTTCAACTGTAACCCATGCAAACTGAAGGTGTATGGGCCTATTCGGTTCATCAGCTGCTAAGACTCGTCTAGACCCGAGTTTAGTTCTACAAATTTTGTCTCGTTTCCGTTTGGTTCTCCTTGGCCCCGCTTTGAGAAACAGGCAACACCCCCACAACACTGTGAGATCCGCGGGCATCGGGGCCAGGCGGATGTGCAATGAAAAACGCACCCCGTTTTAAAGGATAGAATTCACTAGCGTCCACGACAAGCATGAAAGGATTTGCTGCTTGATAAACAAGCAAACCGCACACGAGGGATGTACATCTGGAGAGATTCGCAGGAACACTGAGACAGGTGCTAATCTTTACTAGTGATTCTTGGGTGTACATCATTCACATCGGGATTTGTGTCTTTCATCCCTTCTAGGTCGGGGGTTATGTTGTTTCTAGAAAGGGGCGGTGCGGATCAGTTGATTTCCCAGCTTGTTCTGCCATGTGCTGACCGGCCCAAGCATGCCCCGGGAGCGCAGTCAGAGATGCTGAATGTTTCACGGATTCCCTTTGACACGTTCAAACTACTCGCATTGATTTCAATTCCAGTTCGGTTCCATTGGCTGCTCGCGCAGCGCAAGCGCGCTCAAGATGGTTGATGATGGCACGGGGTGGTAGGCGGTGTTTGCACATCTGCTCTGCTAATCTAAGCACAATGCTCGGTTGCTCAGATTTGGCGGTAGAGCAAACCTAAACGGTGCGACCAAAGGTGCCTGACAGGGCAACCTGTCCAACAACCCGATGCCCAAATCCAGCAGACCCACCCCGTCCTTCAGGGCAAGGTAGCCGAAGATTCCCAGGCGATAGTTCATAGCCACCAAAATGCAGTCACGCTTGCGCACCAGGTTTTCGATGTGACCGTAGGAGGTGGCAGACCCCACGGTGTTCATACCACCATAGATCCATACGATCACTGGCAATCTGCTTGACGAATTCCCCAAGTAAGATGGCCTTCCAAGCAAAACAAACAATTGCGTTCAGCTGATGTTCGCAAGCTGGCAAAATGCATCTGAGAGGTTTTTTGCACGCCACATGTACCATACTTAAGCTCATTTTGCTCCTGATTCTCCGGAGAAAATGTGACATGGACCGTGGATGACCGCCCTGAGATGTCCTATTGCAAAAATGACCGGGACCTACTAGTAGCCCGAGAAAGACCCCTCACATGCCCATGGCATAGCTTCTGCCCAGCCGCGGTGCAAAGACGTTGAGGTTCAAGCAGTCCTGCCATGGCATCCATAAAATCCCTGAGGAAGCTGGGACTTGGGTATTGAAGATTGACTCGAAGAGCAAATGAAGCATGACATGACAGGTTGATCGGCGTCTTGTGCTTGCCCCCAAACTCATGACAGGAACGGCGTATCGTTGCCGCTCCTCGCTATCGCTGGCACCTCCCTGTCGACACCTGACAGGTCAATCAGAAAAAGTCGACTGGAATTTCCGTGGGACTCTTAGCAAAGCACAGGAAAGTAGAAACAAATGCACCAAGAAGCATGGGCTTCGGCAAATATCCTGTGGATTTTGTTGCCGCTTGGTGCCTGGAGTGGTGTAATCGAATGTCGACATAGCTTCTGATGGAGACTAAAGGAGTAAGGTACGCCTTCGCTTTGGGCCGTACCACTTACAATTGACAATGGCTGATGGATGTGCAGGTAGGTCACGGGCAGGTCACTAAAACCGCCTTCCCACATCGCCACTTCCAGTCTTTTTCTCGCACTTCTAATCGCACCATGTGCCTGTGGGTCAAAATCAATGGGATCCCATTTTGGGGTATATAGATGAATTCATCACCCATTTCATTTTAGTTGGGATTGGGATGTTCATTTGGATTTCAGCCCTTGGACAAACGAACAAGCGGGGATACGGAGGTGGCGGGGATATGGGAAGATTCCCTTGGCGCCATTTCCCATATCAAACTTAGTCAAGGTGCATCAAACGGGGGAATCCTCCCGTATCCCTGGTTCCCCCTGTATCCCTGCTACCTGGAGAGCCAAGTTGCTGCATTTTTCAGTCACTGTTGCTGGTTTTAAAGTGGATGGACAAAAAGCAGCAACTGGCGATCCAGGTAGTTGGTTTCCCTGATCAACGCCATGTCCGGCGTCTCTCGCTTCGCACCTGGGCCCGTCGTGGGTCGCCAGCACCTCCGCGCCGCACTGTGCCGGCGCCGCGGGCTTCCAGCGCCGCCGCGCCAGCGGGGCCTCGCCGTAGCGGAGGCCGCGGAAGGCCGCGAGGCCTGAGCCGCGGCCGGGAAATTCGACCAACAAAAGGGGGGCCGGTGTTCATTGCCGGCCCACTTAAGGCGGGGAAGTTCGACCACATTTCGGTATTTTTTTGGGGGTCCACACATGTTTTTTCTCTCTCTCTCTCTCTCTCTGCCGTGGCATCCAGTCACGGTGGAGCAGCGCCCAACGAAAAGCCAAAGGCCCTAGCTCAAGCCGAAACGCCAGTTTGGCGATACGGCCCCAGACTGGAGATCTGCGAATCAACCCAAAGGCCTTCATGAGCTTTTGGCCCCGGGGCCCGGGCATCCGTATCCAAGCCGAACTTGGTATCTCAGGCACACGGTTCGCAGCCAAATGAATAAAATGAAGGACCCCCCTCAAAATAAGTAAATAAAAACTATTAAATGAAAAACGGGCCAGGCACATCCAAAACAAGTGAAGCAACTGCTCACTGCGACTGTGCCCTGCTTTCTGTCCCCAGCCTTCCTCCCATGCGCCGGTGATGCAACCGCCTTGGAGCGACCATGGAAAGGCAACATCCCAAGACAGGATCGAGCGGCACCAGGCTTGACGCAGTTTTCCCGAGGAAAACATTCAGAGGAGAGTGGGCGATTGGGGTGTTGATTTCTTGGAGCTTGGCCGCTTCACTAGCAACCTAGCAACCCTGAAAAAGCGAAGCGCGTGGTGGACGAGTTGAAGCCAGGTGGCAAATGGGGTGAGGGCTCGGACCTGAAACTTGTGGTGTTTGGGGACCTATTCCCATCGAGCCATCCCATCGAGTCATCTACTATCTACTTCGGATGGGGGATTCTCACGGATTTGCCCCAATTCTCCCTGAGAAGGTTGCCACAATCCGAAGCTTGCCCACCATGGCTGTCCACAGAAATTGGCCCATCTCTCAGCAAGTTCCAGCCATGGCGCGGTCACCCCTCCACCCCAGAAAAAGAAACAACAAACAGTTGATTTTGTTTAAAAAAAGAAGAACAACAAAACAGGTTTTATGCTTCAAAAAAAGGAACAATGCCAAATCAGAATGCCTTCCTCGATTGGCCGATGATGCAAGCAAAAGCCACAGCTACCAGTCCTCACTCATTTTCTCAATCAATCAGGGACACATTTAACACTCCTACTTTCTTGTTGACAACTCCAAGACCTGAACTCGTAAATCCCCAAGGTGACCTCGGCTCTTCCGCCGAGCCGCCGCAGGGCAAAAGGACGCTGGGCGCTGCAGCCAGCGCCGCCGGCGCGCCCAGCGGCGCGTGGAAGGTCATCACCACGGCCCCGGCCGCGGCCGCGGCCGCCGTGGCGGCGAGCCACAGACACACGCGGCGCCGAGGCCATGGCTTCTGGTCCAGGAGGGCCATGGACGACATGAGGCCCAAGCACGTGACAAAGGAGAGAGCTTGCAGTTGTGACACGTTGTCTTGTAAACTGTGCAATGATCAAGGTTTTCTTGAGTGATAATGGATGCTGCTGGCCTCAGCACGTCAAATGATTAAGTGAAATGCGTCATGGCCAAAAGGCACATGTGCACATCTACTAGCACGCAGGGCGTGCTGGCTTGAAGGCGATGGGCGTGGCTTGCGCCAAATAGGCCTTGCCAGAAGGGTGGAAGAACATCTGTGCCCCTCGTGCAAGCTTGCGTTCATGTTCCCCCTGATTTGTGGCTTGGGAATTGGGTCGGTCTGGTTCTATCTAACAGCCATGTGGTCAGACCAGCAAGCCGGCAAACTCCTCTCCAAGCAGGTCGTGACTCGAAGAACTCACCCGGTGACTTCAACCATTTGGATGCCTCTATTCAGGTTGGTGAACTCCCTGCAACCATCGTGAGTTTCCCTTACAAAAGCAGCCAACCACATTCATTCCTTCGGATCCATCGTGCGCAAGTCACATGTTGGTGATTCGTTGAGGCTTATTTCATTCAAAATGACTCAGAGCCATAGAAATCCCGAGGCCGCCATCTGAGTGCCCGGCACAACCAGCAAGCTGCTAGGTGAGCCGTGTACACCTCGGCTCGGTGAACTGTGGAACCTTATGGTAGCCTCGCCATACGCCACTGAATAGTCGTCCCTTTTTTAAAGGGTGCACTCTTTAGGATGGAAACCAAGGGAAAATCGCAGGAACACCACCCATCTTGGGGTACCCCAAGTTTGACACAAACCCATTGTGGGGCGTTCTTCTACTTCCACCTGACCTCCTTTTTTTTGGCCCGGCCCAAGGAACATGTCAGCATACACTTGTGTGCCTGCGCAACATGCAAAGCCGATGGCCATCGACTTCCGTACGAAGTTCCAGAGTCCGGGTTCCGGATCAGTTGGACATGCCACAGCTTGCACAATATACCAGCTGTATGCATGACACACTGGTTCTACTGCAAGCCTATGTGTCCAAGGACATCAATTGGAAGCTATGCCACCATGAGGGGAAGGCGGGTACTTTCTTCGCTGTGACTTTTATGACTGAACCCTTCTGTTTCATGTTTTGTAACAGCCACAGCCCCCCCCCCAGCGGGGAAAAGCCGAGAGTCCTGCTTGCGATCTCTCCTTGGGCCGAGCGACGGTCCCAGGACCGAGTGTCTTTAACGGAGAGCCCCTAAAACGGATGGTTACCCCCTGGTTTGCCCTTTGAACACTCCCAATGGTCCAGCAAACTCTACGATTGCCCCCATTCAGGGCGCACAACAAACTGCATTCACCCGGCGCCCGCCCAGCGGAAAGCCGGGCCTTGCAAAGAAATCCCGAGAGCTGAAAGGCGGGTGTTGCAATTCCCAAGCCCACCCAACTGTGCGAGCCCTCACGCCTAAGGCCCAAGGTAAGCTCTCTTAAAGGGAGGCAAGTAAGACGATTCTTGCAGAGCAACGCCCACTGGTGAATGCAAACAAGCTGGTGCACCAACTCAGGGACTCAGGGGAAAAAGCCTGCAGCAGAAGCAGCTAGGCTAAGAAGAGGAAGGAGCAGGAATCAGTAGGGTTGGTGGGTCAGAACCCAACAACCTGCCAGAACCAAGCAACCTGTGTTTTTCAGCTTTGCACCAAAAACCTGGTTCTGGCAGGACAAGCTGCTTTTTCCCCCGAATTTGGACCCGTAAAAAACCCGTAGACAGCACGTACACCCTACACCACACCGTAGTTTCCCGTACAAACACCGTACAAACCCGTGCGCAAAACAATCATCTTGTAAAACGATGTTTTTTTCTGCGACAAAACCGTTTGGTTTTTGGACTCCTGATTTTTGTCTGGTATTTCGTACCTTATGGTGTGTATCTGTGCATATATATATATATATACAAATGTGAATTTAATGTACCTACGTATACATATTCAATCATATTCATATATACATGTCGCATATACTGCGCAAGGCCACGGGCCACTAGTGCGTGAAGTACGTGACGATGTGCGTCTTACTTGGATGACACCTCAAACCTATAAGAAGAGTTGGGCCAACCCTGGCGTACAAACCACCACACAAATCGTTGCCGACATTGAGCGCGTCACGAACAAGACTATAGGAACAAGGACGCAATCACGATTCCGCCAGCCGCAGCCCCACCAAAGGAAACAATGAGTGTGAGCAGCCTATGATCGGCAAACTGCCATGTGCAGAGAAATCGCCTTAAAGTGGACACGTCCGACACTCTCGCCAATTGAACCAAATATGATCGAGGGTAGCACCGGCTCAGCATTGCCACTTTGAGAATAGAAGGCGGCGTTTGTCGGGGATTTGAATTTCTGTGGGTTTGATTGGTGGAAGACTCGAAAGCAGTCATGAGCAAAGAAAATAGACCATCCTGAAGCCAACGGCGCTACTGGCTTTCTGGCTCGTACCCTTGGTTACAAGGGTAGCAAAAAGGAAACCCGGGTGCTACCAAATATGGTACGAACCAAACAACAAGGCAGGTAGGCTCATTGGTTCTTACCCTCGCTGGCCTCTTTTCGAACATAATTACAGGTAAGCAGCTGCGAGCAGCTGTGTAGTGCCAGCCGCCTGCCAAGGCATATGGCGAATTGTGGATGCATGAACCCTAACAACCCCCCCCCCCCCCCCCGCGCACCAGAGAAAAGATTCAAAGAACCAAAGGCTGTTACTGGTGAGGATGCTGCATGATGGTGATGTCGCTCAAGTTGTTGTTGCCTCGAATCATTGCGTTGTCCTTGTTGGACAACGTTGCTTGTGCCGGTGCTTGGTTGTGCAGTCTGGCAGTCTTCCACTGAACGTAAAGCTTCATCGGCCATCATTGCTCTCTTTGAGATTGTGTGTATGCTGAATTGCGTGTGTGATGGCATCACTGCTGGTGACTGAATATGCAGCTCGCACCTCATACCGAAGTCTGACAAATCCTTCACTCGCCAAGATTCTGCCGAGGCCAAAATCAAAACCACACACAATCACCGCAGCCCTGGTCCCTGAAAGTCAGTGACACCTGACCCATACTGTATACTGCATGTCTCACTTGGAGGGTTCCCGACAGAAAGTGGCCTGCGGGATTCAATAAGTATCACCAAAAGTGGCCAGCCAAAAAAAAATCCGAGGAAGTAGCAACCTGCCCCCATTTGCCACAGCTCTTTCTCGCCTCCCACGGGTGCCGGAAAACTGCTCCGAGCACCTGTCGCGTGGGCTGCAGGGGCCTGGCACGAAAAAGAAGTCGGGAAGGTACGCATAGCGCACGGTGGCACTGCCAAAACAGCTGGCACATGGCCCATATGGGGACTTACATGCACCTGGACCCTCAAAGCACATGGGCTGCCCTAATTGAATCCACCAGGACACGAACCCTCCCCAATAAACCATTTCTAAGGGGCGGGGATGCTTGAGTTGGGAAGTGGGAAACTGGCAGTTTTGTTTGAAGGAAACCAGGGTCAACGCTGCATGGACCCGCCATTCTCTTCCATTATTTTCACATATTCGAACTCCTGCGAGCATACGCGTATGCCACAAAAAGCTGGTTTTTCGATCAACCCGGCGACATGTTCCAATTCCTGCGCAAGCGCTGTTGCTGGTAGCAAACTGCGCTCTGTCCAGCCTCAGATCTTATTTCAGCGCGTTTCCCAAAATGTGTCTGGTCATGCAATTGTTCCTATCCTTGGAAGAGTGAAGCGCAGGAGTAGCAAACCCTTGGTCGATTGGGACGTGATGGAGGAGACATCCAGATGACTTTTGGGCAAACTACCCTGAGGTTGTTGTCGTCTTAGTGCCAACCAATCTTGGAGCACAGGAAACCTCGCTCGAAAGTCACACGCCCACACTCGCGCTTTTGCTAGCTGCTTCCGGCTGGGCTCAACGCCATGGGAAAATCCACGAAAAACGGCTGTTGCAGCCTTGACAAAATTAAAGAACATGGCACTTGAGAGTGTAACTTCATTTCAAGTGCAGATGCCAGTGTCCAACTGCCCTAAGTTACGAAGTCCCATTAAGTGTCTAACCGTGCTGAGTTCCGTCCTGGAACCATATGAGCAACGTGCGAAACCTCTTGTATAGCCAAAGGACATCGGGTAAAGGTGATCGTTTTGTGTTTTCGCCAAAATTGCATCTGTGGCATCTGTGGCGCAACCCAACTCGCCCGAAACGGATTGCGCCTACCGCGCGGCTGCCGCCTCAGGGTGCAAAGGCCCACCCACCGCGTACGCACCGCTGGGAACGTCGGGGTGCGGCTGCGCGGAGTACTGCACGAACTCGGGCCCTGCAGATGGTTGCCATGGCCATGGCTCGAAATCCAAATCGTACCCCCAGTGAACATTCCAAAGCACTAAAATGGGTTCTAAAATGGGTGGCGAATTCACCAATCCCAACCACAATGGGATCCCTTTCGTTTTGACCCTTCCATTCTACGCCTGAACATTGCCTTGTAAATGGTGGTTTCCCTTCATGTTGGTGGGAAAAGCCATGTTTCAAATGGGCAAAATGTATCTTTTAAGGAGCCCTGTCCAAACAAACCGTTTTCTGGGGCCCCGGTGGGGGGCCCCGCAGGTGAACGCGTGGCTCCTGCCATCTTGGTGCCGTCGTTGGTGAGCACCGCCACCGAGGCCATGTTGCCGGCCTTGTCCACCTGGATCCGTTTCGATTTTCACCCCCTGGGCGACTCATCTCTAAGCATCGTTGAGCATCGCTCAAAGATGCTTTTCACCCTTGCCAGTGCGTCTTTGCTCTCTAAGCATCTAGCGAGGAATTGCTGCGATCAAGAGGAATGTTGGCTGATGTGAGTGGGGTGTGGAATGCTGGCAGGTAGCCTCACCTTGAGCTGGCCCAATGCTGATTCACAGGAGCAATGGAAAGACTGTGGCCCTTAAGGTCCTTGGCCTTTTCATCACAAGCGGTCACTCTAAGGCTGCAATGGCTCCCTTTACATGGTGAATCAGATTATTAAGAAAGCGGGCCCACCAGGGTAAAAAATGGGGTCCTTTACGGGGCGAATGCCCCCCTCCATATTTATGTTCCAAGCACATGGAGGCCCTCTAAGCCATGCAAGCAGGAACTGTTCCCCAAAGGCATCCAGCAAATGCCTTGCCTCATCAGGCAAATCAAAGGCTGAAAGAAGCTGCATTTAGGCAACCACAAGCGCATGTCATGCTGAACCTGTCACAAGCGCCCAGTATCCGAGTGGGACAGATTCCAGGCTGTGCCTAAATGCTGCCCTCGTTGCAAATATTGTTGATTGCGGTGTATGCATGTACAATGCATCCCCGTCGGTCTGCATGCATGTTACGCCACTGTATGGAACCGTGATTGATGAACTCTTTGATTCCTGCCCGTTCTTTGTGGCTGTGCATGCTTTGCCTTAAAGACTGGGCCGGCCTCAAAAAAAAAAAAGAAGAAAAGAGCATGCCTCAACTCATGAGCACAAGTCCAACAGTCCCCTGCCCAAGGAACCTTTGCATCCGAGTCACGTAATTGGGCGCCGAGAAGACGGTGATCAGCGGGTACTGACCTCAGAGCTCTCTGCCGGGCAGGACCCGCTAACCACCCACACACATTGGATATGCCCCAACTGTAGCATCCCACCCCCCTAAAGGGGGGGGATGTCTGGAAAGGTAACTTGCATTTTCTGGCAATTTCCACCTAAAGAATGAAGGGATTGTATATGGTTTGCAAACCTGCCAAATTGTAAGATTACATTTTGGACGCTGGTGGACCTATCAGTGAAGGTACCGCACACATAACCGTTCATGAACTTACCCCATGCTCAATGCCTTCAAAAGCTTCTGCGCGTGCGCCACATCTGCACCACCAGCCATCATCTACATTTTGCGACACCCCGCCCCGCCCCCCGCCAGCATTATTTGCACGCCGCCTCCGATGACCGGACAAACAAAGGTAACTTCAACACGCCCAGGTGTCAAGCCGCACTTTGCACCAGCAATATACACCGGTGGGGTCCACTTGCTTTTTTGTTGAGGGGGGAAAAGGCGCAAAATGCAAATTACATTCTGCAAATGTTTTCGGACCCTAAGGGAGTGGGGACATTGTAACGATATTGTGGCAATTCCCCAATTTCAGAATAGTTTGAGGGTCTATGGGGACCTCTTCTCAATGAAATGATACAACGGCATCCCAACAAATCACACCCCGAGGAGACGGGAAAAAAAACAACTCCAACCACACTCACTACACTCCCCGCGTGCAAACAAAAACCCTCCCGTCCCTCGAGAAGTCGAGTCGAGCCGCCCTCGTGGTCGAAGCGGTAGCCCTGCGCCTTGACCTCGTGGGACCGCAAAGTCATCCGCAGGCCGTTGAACTCCATAAAGTTTCGGCTGACGTCAGGACCGAACCTACATCCGAGACCAAGGACACGCGGGCTTGCAGTTTGGGTGCACGCTTGTGGTCTATTTGGTAACCACCTTTATCTGTATTGTCAGGTATTGTGCCTTGCAAGCTTTGCAGTAAGCTCTAGGTGGGCAGTTGCACAGGGGACTTGGGCCCCCAGTTCAAATTTCCCAAAGCCATGAAGGGAAACGGGATGCCAAAGTGAAATGCTGCGGGGTGTTTCCGTATGCCCCTCTCCCAATTCCATCTTAAAAGGCGGGTGGGGATCCTAGGGCCGGAGGCCGAGCAAATGATTATGCTGATTATGCTGGCTGGGTAGTGGGTGGAGACCGATTTGATCTAGCAACCTTGTGGCGGAGCTGTCGTATATACCCTGCAAGACCCCTGAAAGGCCGGATTTGAGGTGTCCGGCAAGAATGCTTCCTGAACGCTGCAGAGCTTGCTGGCCATGAAGGAGCAATAGCTACAGCCAATGCGTACTTGCCCGCGGGGCAGCAAGTACAAAGCAGAAATAGTCAGCCACACATGGAGACTGTTCAAAGTACTCATCGGAAAGCCAAACGTGGGGTACCTCAAAACAAAATGTCATGTCACCACCTCAGTGTGGCCTCCCAACAGAGAAGGTTCGCCCAGTTTTGGTACGCAATGATTCGGGACGCTGCCAATACATTTCTGCCACTTGCTTCTGGAGGTCTTGCGTCAAACGCTGCGGCGGCACAAACATCTCCGAACACCGTAGCGCACTCCGGACTTGCCCAATTGTGGCGAACAAAATATCCGACGCCTTGCGCGCGCGCGTGAAAAACGCACGCCTTCCTTCGGGGCAGTTCACTTGCAATCCAGCACAACTACGACGAAGAGAGTATTGCTTAACAATCTAACATTTCACAGTGACACGTGTTTCCCGGAACCCTCCAAACAACCACTACGTCCTTCGGTGAAGAAAGGCAACGCACGCTCGACAGAAACGATGTGCCGTCTCAGAAGCAAGTAGATGCCCGATGACATTCGTCCGGATGGTCCGTAACCGTCCTGGCCGATGGACAAGCGGGTCAGTTTTGCGGGCAGCGGTTGGTAAGCGCTCAAAGCCGCCAAACTCTGCAACGACTTGACAAAGACGGCCACCAACGTCACCAACATTACAACAATTCAATGTATGCACCAAGCCTGTCTGTTCTTCGCCAGAGGCTGTGCTCCCCTTCAAATCAACATCTTAAGCCACCTATGGTCACCTATGGGGTGGCACGCTCCAGGATAGGTGCGAATGGTTGGCCACCAATGGCTGAGGTTGCGAGGGCTGGCGAAGGCTCCTTGCCCTTGGGGTCCGACCAAAGAAGGTCCACCATCAGCGGGTTGTCATCCGGGTTGGGCTCCATGAACCGGTTGGAGTTCTCGATTTCCTGACTTACGTGAGATGCGAGACCAATGGAATCCCATGGAACTGGGCAGGCTAAGCAATTGGAACTAGGGCAATGGGACTCAGCTCCGAAAGGTCAGGGCAGCCGGGCTCAGGACCTGTCAAATGGAGGGCCTTCCATGCAAGGTTGCTTCTTCAGGCTTGATCCCAGAAGCTGGGAAAGCCATCGAAAATCCATGGGATAACGCTTGCTTTCAGGATTCTTTTGGTGATGGATTCCTGGCACCAGGGGGGCGGGGGTTGATCCAGGGGTCACTCATGGCCACAGACCTCCAACTGCGGATGAGGTGCAGACAGGCTGATCTGGATCTGCCGGCCGTCGAAGCTAATCTGATTGTCCATGCCCTTCCACCACACGCGAGGGTCCGGGCCTTGCCGGACGAAAACAAATTCTTGTCTTGTTTCGGGAGCCCTCGGTTAGTGGCTCCCTTCAAAGGGCAAGATAGGGAAGCCAAAACAAAAAGTAAATCAACAATGGGGTTCAGAGCGGGAACAGGCAATGCAACAAACTAAATGGAGCGACTAACGTTCACGTGAGTGTGGAAGCATTAATCCGTGTGCGGTTGCATCAGAAGCACCGCGCCAAACGGCCCTACATACAAGCGCTGGGCTGGCAAACGCAGAACCTTAGCATTGAACACCATGAACATCCCGCTCACTCACTAATTCAAGTCACCAAACATTGATTTGTCCGGGTGAAACATGGAAGCAACCAGCAAGGAACCCCTTCAAATAAGACCTCTCAAATCAAATCGGCGACGCTCGCCTTCGATTCGAGGGCGAATCGCAAAACCGCGTAAGACACTCCGCAACCAGCGCCTGGGATGCCGCCGTGCACAACGAAGACCTCGTTGTTGATCACGTGGCACAAGGGCGTGGCTCGGAACCTCACAGCCCATACGCCGAAGGGACCGGGAAATGGATGGGATGGGGAGGGGGTGTCCCAAAATTGGCAAACCTCGGTTGAAAGATGGGGAAACAACCAAGGACACCAACCAGTCTTGGAGACATACTGAGAGCCGGGTATTTCCAGAAAAAAAATGGAGTCTTTGTGGACGACTGCAAATGGAGGATAATGCAAACTATGCAAACCCACAAACCCGCCAGTTGCAGTCTTCATTTGTGCGCTTTTGCTAGGGCATCGTATCTCCGAACCAACAGCTGCCAACCACAGCAAGCTTCACCCACAATCAAAACCAGAAGATGAATTCAACATTCTAGACATGCCCTCCCCACTCGCTTCAATGCTTTTAGAAAAAAAGAGCCCCAACCCAGATTCAAAACAAGAGGTTTTTGGAAAGGAACCTTAGTTCGCAAGTCTGGAAACTCGATCCATAGGAAATAAGCCAAAGGAATATTCATCAACAATGCCTGGAACCCTAGCTCCGCAACCCTAACTCCGCACTCTGGCTGGGGGATCTCTCAGATGGTGGTTTGCCTCTGTCCCCTAACAGAAGACACAAACCCCATCCAAGCACAAGCCCGCCAGGGGACAGTTCTGCGAAGAGGTCCGTCATGCGCTTCTCATACTTCACCTGGCGAGCCAAGCCGTTTCCCCCTGTCCATTGGCTTACGACCAAAGCTAATTCGCATGGAACCCCTTGCTTAGGCGAAGGGTCAAAAAACCTCCCGAAATCAATCCCGGTCCTGAGCCTGTTCTCCCACTAACATGGCACCTGTAGGCACGGAAGATCATTTTCCTCTTGGAGGGACCCCCTGTGAGGTGCCACGTTAGCAGGAGAGAGGGTAACGCGCGACCAGGTTACGCAGGTGTTAGTCTTTGGTTCCATTTGCCAAGGTGCCATTTTACGGTACATGTTTTAGACCCACAGCCAAGCCTTTTCTTTCAGGGGTGTCAGGCCACTGGTTTCGAAAACTCCCATTCCGCCTCGATCTCTCCGAAGAAGCCATAGAAGTGGTTGGCCATCTCTGCTTCGTGGTTGCCGCGGTTCATGAACACATGGCCCGGCTGCCACACCTGCGGTGAGTCTGGTTCCTTTTTCCTTATGGGTACCTTGTTTGGAACTGTTACAAAAAAGAAGAAGAAACCAAACGGAAGTTAACAACTCAGATGGGTACTTGTCACTTGTAGGACCCAACCTTTAAAATGAGTTTTTGCATGTTGAATGGTCCCCTTGCTAAACCCTGCCAAACAGGGGTCCCTATCGTCGACACAGCCATGTGGCAGGCAATCAATCAGAATTGTGGCTCCTGTGAAATAGCTAGCCTCCTTTCCAGTGCCTTGCCTCACCAACTGGGCGCGGATTGCAATCAAGACCCATCAATCGACTCACTGATCACCGAAGCGAAAGTCCCCACGCCCGAGGGATTCTTCACTTTCGAGGTAGAAGTAGAAGGTTCAAAGTGATTATGCATATTTCCCCGGGTTCCAACATGAACTCGGGGGAGCCTAAGCGACAACTCACTTGGCCAGCGTTTTTTGGTTTTCAGGTTTCAGCGTCACTCCCTTCGCGGGTTTGCAGGAAAATTGACTTTGACTCCCCAGGTGACTTCGGCGCGCATTTCTGTGGGATTGGGCTGATGGCTGTGGACCCCTCTGCAAAAAATGATAATATGTTGTGTTGGTCCAATGCAACACCGACCCCCTTCCCAAAAAGTAGAAGTGTAAAGATGCAACCAGATAGCCATAAAGCATACAGATTCTGCTTGGACACAGACCTGTCCATCAACAAGGTCCTTTGTCCACTGAAAGCATCAGCCACACAGAAGCGTTCGGCCTAAGGCGATGTTTGAATCAGCCCAAAAGGAACTCTTCCCGATGGCCGTCAAACGGCCACAAAGTAGCCCTACCGGAGGCAAATTACAAACCATTTCTTAGCAAACTGCCGAGGTGGGGGCTTCATTGATGCCCTCTGCTTTCGTTGCCCCCTGGTCGGCAGAGTTGCGCCATGAGAACTCGCTTAGCGGGGTTCTCTCTTTGTTTTTGCCAAGCGCATGGTTCAAGAAGCACGCTGCCCAGATGCCTGGTTTCCGCTTAAGCTACTGAACCCTGGCGAGCTCGCTTCGAGCCTACAATACTTGGCCATGGAGACGTCCGCACGTCCGTATCAAGCCGCGCACCCCTAATGAATCCTTTGTTCAGCGAGTGCTCGGGGCTGGTTCAACGAATTACTCCCGAAAGAAGGATCGCTGGAAATTACTTGGAGCTGTTGACCCCCCTGCAAAAAAAGTGAATAACTATTTTGGGGTTTAGTGGAAAACACCTTTATTTCAACCAAGAAGTTAAAGCCTACAGATCAAACCCATTAGCAGTCAAGGCACCTGGAGCGGCTATTCGAGCCGAACAAACCAAAGGGAACCCTGGCGACAACTCCAGGGGATGGAATACAAAAGCTAAAGTGAAAAGATCAAACCCAATGTCTACAATAGCAGTCGAGGGAAGAAATGGCTCCATCGCCTTGAAGGCCAGCAAGGTGAAGATCACCTCGACGCTCCAGGGGCCACGATCCACAAAGTCCCCGTTGAAGAGAAACCTCGGGTGTGCCTTCCGTTGTTTGTTTCTTCTCCGGTTGAGATTGAATGGCCTTTTAGGGGAAATAAATGGCCCTGGTGGATGATTAGACCACCAGGTAGGAATCGCCATCTATGTTTCGAGCAGAACAGTCCAAAAGGACTCCTCTGCCTCGGACGCGCCTTCCGTTTTTTCGAAGGTTGAGATGGATCCCGGGCTCCGGGAAGTGGGAGCACTCACCATGAAGCGCGTGGGACTTTGGCATGGGACAAAAGAAGCTCAGGCGTGGCCGCAGTTTGTAGTACATCCAGACCCGTTGTGGAAGGCAAATTGCTCAATGCCCGTCTCGAGAAGGACTGGTCGATCTTGGACTTCTGCGGGACAACTGTAATTTGCTTCGGGTCTAGCCAAGCAACTGCTGCAGCATACCGGAGGGTCTGGTTCAAGGAGTCATTGCAGCACGTTGTGTTTCCAACAGCTGCTGGTACCAGAATGGTATCGTGCAAACTCCGAAAGGCCCGCTGCAAGGGTATCATGTGCCATGCAGGTTTATATACAATAGGAACCCTTCATGCAGGGTGCAGACCAAACAACACTCATGTGGTTCCAACGGGTACAAGCGCACGCAGTGTGTCAAGCAGACCCTCCCGACAGCATGGCATTGCCCTGCCAATGCGCTGATGCAATCAGTGCATTGAACCATCTGGATGCCTGAACCATTGGAGCAAGTCCCAACTGCCAACTATAGAACATAGAGTGCTGTAAAATCAGGGACAAATAGTCTCGGGCTTTTTTGCAAGGAACTACCGGCCTGTGGCAGCACAGCAACCTGATCTGATAAGCTTTATTCTGTCATCACATCCATTCCGCGTTGTCCAAACATCGGGCTTTTCTGTTTTTGTTTCCGCCCGTTCAAGCGAGACATCTCTGGACATTTGAATTGGATGCCCGCCTGGGGTAAACGCGCTGCGCCGAAGGAACCTGCAACAAAAAATCAGTAGCAACCCCCGCTGTGCCCCGATCGAGCCCTCCCGCACTCCCCGCGCGATTTGTTCCCCCGTCGGGTGGCTGGTTGTTGGGAGAGGGGAAGCCCGCCAAAGACAGCATGTGGTCAAAGTCGAAGAGCTGGCCGTGCAGGTCTCCCACCACCTGAGGGCAACAAAAATCCCGGAACGCTTCTATCCCCATGTGACTGGCATGTGGCAACTGGGTTCGAGGATCCATGGAGCTACTCCACGGACTGGTTGCCACTGCCGAAACAGCCATGGCTCGAATCGCCAAAGGGATTGGTAGCTCAAGAGTCAACCGGCCATACGAATCGGAGAACCCGCGTATGCGCTGCAGGCCAAGGCCTGTTTGGTGGTTCCTTCTAATCAATCGACCCCTGTTTATGGGGGTTCCTGGATTTAGTGGTTGGATTCAGACCACTTTTGGATGGGCCTCCACCCCCCTATTCATAAACAGGGGTCATTAGTCACGTGGGCCAACATTAGTCACTTTGCCGCATGCTGGCAGGCTGTGCAGTCATGGGGCAGTCACCTTCTGTCCAACCGGCACATTCACTCGTCCCAGGGTCTTCTCCTTCACCAGCAGGTCATATGCATCGATGGCCAGCTTGTAAGCATCCTTCATCGGCAAGATTTGCCCATTCCTTGGCCAGTCTGACAAGAAAAGAACATAGCGGACACAGAGCTAGCTGGGTATCTCCCGAAACAACGGGAACCCAAATCATGGTGGATGTCCTGGCAGTTTCCCTTTAAACCAAGGTGAAAAGGGAAATTACCCTCAATGGACGCACACCCAACTGGGAAACCCAAACACTCTACGCAAGCGCCGTACACGGCACGTGGTGGAACCCCTGGAATGTTGCCTTATGTTGGGCGCGAAGCGCCCATGTTGTTCTGGATGTGAAGCCCTTAATGTCCACCCCACAGCCTGCCACTGATAGGTTACCCTAATGTCCGGACGAAACATCACCGCGCCTAGAGGAAACTCGGTCAAAACCAATGTTTGAACCACTGGAAAGGAGAAACGGGAACCTACCCATCCCACATGCCGCAAGGGGAGGCGGTGCATCGCCAATGCCATTGTTTTCGATTTCCTCAATGAGAACGTGGAACTACAAGCAGGGTTCACATCGCATGTTTGAAGGACTGGGCCAAAGTGCATGGCACAATTCCATCATTTTGGTTTTGTCAATTTATCTACCCACATCCAGTTCAAATTTCGCCATCAACACCATCACCCTGTAATCAACTAGCTGTACCTGCACCTCCCTCCATGACCCAAGTCCAGAAACCCACATTCCATCTCCTTTCATCCTGTACCCACCGCTGTACCCTCGTTCCCTGCACCAAAACCGCCGAGCGGCTTAAAGGAGGCCAGCATCTGCCTGATGGAGTCCTCGCTCAAGGACTGAGGTCCCATGTACCTTGGTGGCTGAAAGGACCCCCCTGCAAAAAAAGCGAATAACTATTTTGGGGTTTAGTGGAAAACACCCTTCTGTCAACCAACAAGTTAAAGTCTAAAGATCCAGCCCCTGGAGGTTTGAACTCGGGATAGCGGGAGGGATATATTTTTCTTTGAAGGTGAACGATGTTGTGGGAAGCGCGCCAAGGGAGAGGGAAACAGGTGTGAGGAATAACTAGTCATAAAGAGCTATAAAGCTAAACTTCGCTCAAATTCAGCGTTTATAGCTGGGTTTGTCCACTGCTCACGTTTGGGCGATGATGTCCAAATCACCTATGCCGGAGCGAACAACAAACCCAACAAAATCAAAGATCTGGGCAAGTGATTCCAGTTCGCAAGAATTCACATCTCAAGATGGGCACTGGCATGGAAAAAAGCGCTCTGCAGCCGAAACGCTGGGGGTGTCGCTTGAGATTTGCGAGCCCAGGTTCCAGTTGGATCCCCAGCTGAACGTGCCGGGATCATGCGCTGTGCATGTCCAGGTTGGTGCGAGGCTCGCGATGGATTTTGTTTTTTCGCGGGCGATGTAATTTTGGTTTCTCCGGGCGAATGTTTCCTGCCATCATTTCGAACAAATGTCTCAGATGCTGTTGACCCCATCCAATGGTTGGCCGAAATTGTGCCCAAACCTGACTTTGGTTTAGTATTCCCCGTTTGCTTTTGGCCCAAGATGCCCAAGCAACAACGACAACCCGCCAGTGAGTTTTGGAAAATAGATGGCAACTGCGGAAATCAAATATGTTCAACCAAACCGACCTGAAAAAGGCCCGGGGTGATCCTGCAAATGCATCTTTGGCCCAAACAGCCAACCAACCAACCGAACAAACCAACCAACCTACCTACCCAAAAGGCCGCCAAAAAGCAAACCAACCATCCTTCAAACCAACCAAAATCCAACCCAACTACCCAAAGCCACCAAAAAGCAAACCAACCAACCTACCCAGAAACCCCTACCAACCCCACAAACCCCACCAACCAGCAAACCAGCACAAACCGCCGCTGGAATTTTCCTCCGCGGCGCCGCGGCCCCGCGTGGCCGGTGGGCTCCGGCATGCTGGCGACGGCGCTGCGGAGGTTCTCCACCACGTCGCTCCTGACCGCCGGGAGGGCCGCTGGCTGCGGGGAGGGAGGGCGGATGGGAGGGTTGGGGAGGTTGGGAGGGTTGGGGAGGTTGGGGAGTTGGGGGGGTTGGGGTGGGGTTGAGGATTGTTTGTTCAGCTTCTTGCCCCCCCACCCCCGCGGGCCTGTAGCTAGCGGGCGCCACGGGAATCTTGTACCTGGGCGGTGACCACTTGTGGCATTGCTCATCAAAACTATGCTCACCAATCTGGGCTGTCCTCAGATCCCCCGCTAACATTTTAACTTTTTCTGGGCTAAATGGAAATCCCCACTAAACACTAAAAAGCTAAAAGGCCAAGGGGATGGCTGGGAGCCACCAAGCAATGGAGACCTGCAAACCCTTACTCTTCCAGCTTGCAGCCATGAACGGCCGCTCGGAAATGTGTCAACGGCGGTGACTCCTCCAATCGGGCGAATGTTTGAATTCAACAACGACTCTGACAGGCATGCTGCAGGGGTTCCTGCCGACAGCTGACATGTCTGACCTCAAGTATAACAATGCCCGAGGGTCTATGCACAGTGGCGAGGCAGAACAGGCAAGGTCCCAGTACTTCTACGATCAGCTTCCCACGAATTGGGGCTTTGGATTGGCGGTTTGGAGGTTCGGCGTCCCCAAAACCGTACTCGAATCCAAACCATTCAGGGGTGCCTGATCTGAACGATCTTGGAGCCCGCAAGCTCTGAGATTTGCTTCCGGTCACAGGGCGCGCGAATGAACACGAAGTGGTTTTCAGCGTCCTCGATAGTTCCCTCTGCATCACCGGAACGATGCAGCTGGACGGACGCCCCGACCCGAAATGACCCGAACAGTGCGGCTCAGAAGCTCTCTGATGGTCGCATCGCGGGGCAGGTCCTTGCTCGCTCGTTGCTGACACGTCCAGTGGTGAAACTGAGCTCTTCAGCCACCACCGAGGTTCAAATTTGCCTCTCCCCAAGGTCTTGGACGATTTCTTGTGGTTCCTTTTCGGGATCTTAAACAAATATCACTTCTTCACATATTGCCAACTGCAGCGCTCTGAGTCACATCCCAGTGCCAGTGCTTTGGGGCCCCCACAAATCATGCCCCACAGCATCCTTGCCCCCAAAAATCCACACCTCCCCCAAAATCCCAGAAACCAGCCATTTCCAGACCCCCCCCCCTTTAATGAATCTCAACAGGGGGGGCAGTCCCCCTCGTACGCAGGGCCCACCCATTTGGACACAAACTCCACCCACAGGATACCCATACCCCCCCACCCAAGCTCCTTGAAGCGCTCGTCCCGGCTGTCGATGGTCTGCTCCATGTTTTGGCCCATCCCTCCCGCCGGCGGACTGGGCTCATTTGCAAGGCCAGTCAGCTCAACGTACTCTATGGAAACGGGCAGCTCCTAAGCAGCGCGGGTATATATAAAGGGGGGAGGGAGGAAAAAAGACCCCTTTTTCGGTGGGGCACAAAGGGAACCCAACATGAATCAGCACACGTTTGAAGCTTCTCTATTTTGCGAGACACCAAAATTGTCGTCATTGGTTGTATACGTTGACTTCAAGTTGGTTTTAAAAACGAAAACCCGAAAGGTCCCCTCAAGAAGCAAAAGAGATTGCTTTTTAACGGGGCTGTTTGAGCATGGGTGTGGAAAATCGCACTGTGATGCCAAAGAGGTCATCCCCAGGGATGGCCTTTATTTTTCTCAAGTTGGATGTTCAATCCGCTACAATGCTTACACCCAGTTGTTGTGTAACCCTGATGGAAACAGGGAACCAAATTTGCTTGGGTTTGACCATCTTTAGTGAAAAGCCACCAATCAAAAGGGAACAGTGCAAACCATCGTTCGTAAGCCAAAGGGAGGAGGGCTGACCAATTCGGGAACCGGCGTTATGCTTTTGATTCAACAGCACCCCTTCCGATTCTGCAAGAATCGCCCTAAGCCAATGGGTCAACCGCCCTTTGGCCTTTCCGGTCTACCTAATGTTGACCCGACATTGATCAACCCCAGCCCAGTTTATTCGTAGGGGGGTGGTGTCTTTTGGGTTTCGTGCTTGGAAGCAGACCACTTTTGGAGGAGCCCCAAAACCACACCCACCCTCCCCGTATTAAGAAAGACAGGGGTTGATTCATATAGGGCCATGGGTCCAAACCCTACCCCCAGCTGGAACATCCCAATCCAACCCACTCAACTAGGTTCTAAAACGGGTGGTGAGTTCGCCAATCCCAACCAAAATGGGATCCCAAAACGGTTTTGACCCGAGGCGCAGCTGGCTTGTTGCCCATGCCGCCCGCCCCGCTGGACTGGAAGATGCCCGCGGAGTTGTCCAGGATCTTGTCGTCCAAGATGTCCATGATGTCCCAGAAGTCCCAGGTGCTCACGTCCTCGTGGCTTGGAGGTTTGGCGCTGCACATGAAATTGGCTTGGGAATTTGGCCAACGCCCTCGGGTTTGGAGTTGCTGCACATGGGGCTAGCTTGGACATTTTGACACAGGTCCTTTTGGTTGAAGGTACTGGGACTCTGGTGGCTTGGGAAGCAAGAAGGGCTATGAAGGGCTAAGGGCCCACGATTTTCACACAGATCCTTGGGAACTGCTCCCAACTGACGTCACGTTGTGGGAAATCAGCTGGAGCCGTGAATGCAACGACAACATTCGCTGGACCCTTGCGACATCTCCAGGTGGGGATGCAGAGAACCCGCAGAGACCGGACGGTTCCATCTTGGGGCGTGCCAAGTGATGATCTCACTGATGATGGCCCTAGTTCGGCGCACGACTGCAGGAAAAGGCCTCTAGCAGGTGAAGCAGTTGACGCTCTTGCCTCAAAAGCAATGATGGATGTGGCAAGGCCATCGGAACTCCGTGGGGACAAGGAGTGAGATTGGAGCCTTTATATTAGGCGCTTCGTGCTGCATCCGCCATGTGCATTGACTCATTTCTTCCAGTACTGCTGCATCCGCCAATAACTGCTTTTCCGCTTGGGAAGCAAAGGCACCTGCAAGAAAATCGGCTTTGTGCAAACAACAAAATGTTGAGCCGCCACAAGCTGCGTCCGAGCCCTGGCTTAGTTGCTTGCAACGCTGGCAATGTGGACGAATTGGTTCAATACGTAATTTTAGTGATCAGGCCAAACGCACCCAAGCGGCAAAGGTCTAAGTGGCAGAAAAGGCTTTCAGAGGTCAAGCAACACACCCACATGATGCTGCACTGCTGCTTTTCTCGCTTCATGTGCATTGGTCAAACATATTTTCCACTATGTCGCATTGATTTATGTGCCACTCAAGTGGGCCTTCCAAAAAAGAGGCATGTCTTTCTAACGTCCCCTGGGCCCAGGCAGGTTTCTTCCGATCGAACCACTTCCTTTCGAGGTTCCTGGCCAGCCACGCTCTTGATGGCCATGAACTTCTGAGCTCCGCCGGTCCAGGCCTGGCCCTGGGGGTCCCCGGGGTATCTGGAGTTCTCCTCGCGCGAGCTCGGGCGATAAGCTCGCGGGGCGGAATTCGCGCCCCGCGGCTCAAGCCAACGGTGGAAACCACACGCCCCTTGTGGACATAAACTCGTTGCCAGCACCCCGTTTTCGCGACTGTTTTCAAACACTCTCCTGTTTGTTGTGTTGCTGTTTGTTTGATTTTGTTTTTTTGGGGGGGGGCAGGGTATGGGGTGATGAATGCTGCATAAACACACATTGACCCCAGGCACCTCCTTCACCCACGATAGTACCACCCTGTGCTTCCAGGATTCCAGTTTCCACTACAGTAGGTAAGCAGAAAAATACATCATGTAAATCATAGCGACAACAATATTTGGTTACACACTATAGTGGAAACTGAAAATAACATCGTAAATCAAGTTGCTCTCACTTAATTGGCAATTCCAGCATGGAGCTAACCATACTCCAGTATGGAACTACTCGCACCTCACTACGTGATTTGTAATGTTTCAAGAAAACACGGGATCGCCAAGAAAGCAACCTTCTTCATGGGGGAACGAGTCTGCAAGCGTCACATCCCTTGAGGTCGCCCAAAAATACATCACCCACTCGGCTCGGCTGAACCTGAAAAAGCAAAAGCACTGTCCACCGAACTTGCGGCGTCATGATCATGCGATGGTTACATTACACGATCGCATGCATTACTACTATAAATAACAAACATATATATATATATATATGGGTACCCATATATCTGGACAAATTATAATAATTTCTACCTCGTACCTCGAATTATTAAGCAAGTAGCAATAAAATACTACCTCGCAAATTAAGGGTCCACCTCGCACCTCGTATTTCGGCGCCTTCCTTGCCTCCTAAAAGAGTGTAAAATTGGAGGGGGGTTGAGCCAGATGTATTGTTGAACTTTTGTATTCAAACGTGTGTGCTTCAAGCTTGCTAAGGGCAATTAAGCAGAAACGGCCGGTTTTGACAACTTGAGACCAGTCTCAATGAGAGACAAACAAGGGCCGCATCTTCTCAAACGTCTGTGTGTTCAAGCTTTTCAAGGCCAACTAAGCAGAAACGGCTGGTTTTTGAGAAGTTGAGGCCAGTCTGAATGAGGGACAGCGAAGGGCCGGATTTGCTCAAACGCGTGTGTTTTCAAGCTTTTTAAGGCCAATTAAGCAGAAACGGCTGGTTTTTGAGAAGTTGAGGCCAGTCTGAATGAGGGACAGAGAAGGGCCGGATTTTCTCAAACGCGTGTGTTTTCAAGCTTTTCAAGGCCAATTAAGCAGAAACGGCTGGTTTTTGAGAAGTTGAGGCCAGTCTGAATGACGGACAGAGAAGGGCCGGATTTTCTCAAACGCGTGTGTTTTCAAGCTTTTCAAGGCCAATTAAGCAGAAACGGCTGGTTTTTGAGAAGTTGAGGCCAGTCTGAATGAGGGACAGAGAAGGGCCGGATTGTCTCAAACATCTATATTTGTGTTTTCAAGCTTTTCAAGGCCAACTAAGCAGAAACGGCTGGTTGTTGGGAATTTGAGGCCAGTCTTAATGAGACAGAGAAGGGCCATATTTTCTCAAACGAGTGCGGTAGCAAGCATTTTAGGGCCAAATAAGCAGAAACGGCTGGTTTTTGAGAGCCTGATGCCCGTGTTAATGAAATTCAGGGCTCGGATTGTCTCAAACATATGTGCCTTCAAGCTTTTTACGGGGGTCGGAATCTCGCACACCTGGCCACACTTGGCGCCCCGGTGCGCCGAATAACACCCCACAGATTTGAGAAAAATCCTTATTTCGGAAACCACCTCGTAATTCGGGGTTTGGGGCTCGCCTCAGGCCAGTGAGCTCGCTATAATTTGTCTATAGATATATATATATATATAGTTACATGACATGGTTAATCCACCCACTGACCGGAGAATCATACTAGGGTGCAAGAAATGCGCGGTGACATTCGGCCTTGCTTATCAGCTGCTCATCATGGCCTAAACAATCTGAGTCTGAGTGTCTTGTTGGACAAGTAGATGGCTTTGGCACATTACTAGAACCAACTTCAAACCGGTGCCGTGAATCCTTAACCGCAGTGACCTGTAAGACACCTGCCATGAGGGTCCGTCCATACGCTGAGTGCAGCTCAGGCACGTTCATGTTCCAGATCATGGCACCTGGGCGTCTGGCTATGCCGAGGGACAGTTAATGAGCTCCTCACCCCTCCCACCAAGAGCGCTTTCAAGCTTCCTTTGCTACTCTGGAGGGTGCAAGGAGGGGTCGCGGTTGTGTATGGGTAAAACTAGGCGCTGACCCATCCCTTTGCAGTTGATTGCGCGCCCGCCTACCAGCAGGGGGGGGCCAGCAGTCGACAGCCCCCCAATTCGAACCAAAGGGGTTGCAAGCCCAGCACAAGCACAATTACATTCGAGTTGCTCGCCCCATCCCAGAGCAGGCAACAACTTCCCAATTCTGTTGCACACAGCAAACGGCATGCCTTGATTCGAAAGGCTCGGGGTCAGGGGGCCTGGTCGCCAAGGAGCCTGCAGGACAAGCAGCATGTGGGCCACCTTTCTTCCAACAACTTGGCTAAGTACAAGGAGTTTGTTGGTTCAGGTTCCATTCATTTCCACTCTCACGTAAATACCAAGTATGTTACCACAACGCTATGAACTGATAGGGGACTACCCAAAACCGATACCCAAGCTGCAAAACCGAAAGGGTCCGCCACTGGTGATGCCCAAACACAAAAAAAAAGACCCCTCGTCGTCTCCAAAGGGAAGAAACTCCATCATCCAAATCCTCTAACATGTGTGGTTTCCCTTGTTCCTTCTCAAACGACCTCCCAAAAGGGCACAATACTAACTCAAAAGAAACGCCCCCCCAACTGAATGAGCCAAAACTCGAGAAACCATAAGTTCAAGTTTATGTCCAGCATTAGTTTCACACCCAACAAGTCTCACCTTGGCCCGTCGCCCAGCCAAAGACCCTGGAAGACTCGTCTCGTTTTTGGTCCGGGGCACCCTTGCCGTTGGTGCTGGGGGCGTAGGAGAGCACTCCGAAGGGTCGCTTCTTGTACTCCACAGCCACTGTGCGGGTGATGGAGGCAGTGTTGGAGGCATCGAAGGTCCTGAGTGAAATCCTGTTTTGTTTTGTGTCTTCTTTTCTTTTTCTCATTTTTTCCTGGTGCTAAAGGGGTCTACCCAAAGCCCCGGCAAAAGAAGGAAAGATAAAAAGGCAATTGCGCTCCGAGAGTCTTCGGCTCCCTAATCTTGTTGCCTTCGCTGTCTCGCATCGAGGCCAAACGTGATACCCGAGACAAGCTCCGAGTGGGACGGCCCGAGACGGTCGCCGGAGATGGCCCCACAAACGTCAGCACCTCAAGGAAACAAGCGAAACCACACGACGCACAGCACAACCCCCAAACACCAACAATATCACAAATTAACTCCCAACCACTCAACACACCAATGCAAACAATCAACCAACCAACCAACCAACCAACTAACAAACAAGCACACAAACATAATATAACAAACACACAATGAAACAAACTAACCAAAACACACACAAACGAAACCATGACAACCAACCAGACATCCCAACTAGCGAGCAAGCAGGATAAGCAAAGCAATGAAAGCAAAGCAAAGCGAAGCAATGGAAAACCGAGCAAAGCAAGCAAGCCAAAGCAGCAAGCCAAAGGCAAGCAAGACGAAGGCAAGCAAGCCAAAGCAAGCAAAATACCAGCAAAGTGAAAAAGCGCCAAAGCAAAGATAAAGGTAGCCAGCGCCAATCTGGATGATCCAAAACAAAATGCAAAACGACCCAGGGAGGATTCCAGCCTCCAACGAAATGTCTGCCACGCGGAGGTGTGTCACCTCAACAACAGCAACGCCACTTTTAATGGGCAACTGGGTCAGCTGCGTAAACCTACTTAGTTTCGATCACCACAAGGAGACTTCCTAAGCCAAGGTCAAACTCGAAGAGCCGTAACCTGGATCTCAAAGGTGCCCCTCCCAAAAAACGAAACATCTCGATGAACAAACTGTCAGGCAGACTTGCCTTCCCAGGCTTCATTTCTTGGAGCACGATGTGGGAGGGAAACAGGGCAGCAAGCCACAGCAAGCCACAGCAAAGCAAAGCAAGCGAAAGCAAAGCGAACCAAAGCAGGCAAGCCCAGGGCAAAGAAAGCAATCAAACAAGCAAGCCAGCCAGCCAGCAAGCAAGCGGGCAGGCAGGCAAGCAACCACGCACTATCAGAAAGCAAAAATCGACGAAGCGCCTCTGTGAGGTACCTGCATGCCGCCAGCACGGCCACGGCCGCAAGCGCTTGAGACAGCGCCGAGCGCCTAAGGGACCCCATGGCCTTTCGGGTCCGAACGAACGTCGGAGTCGAGCTAAGCTGCGGAAAGCCAAAGACCAGTGCACAACGAATGTTCCAAGGTCCAAGCCAAAATGTTTCAGGCTTCCAACTTCTTGACCATTTCAATAAGTTATGTAAGTGTATGAAACGTGTGGAGCGGTCCAGAAACGTTACCCAAGAACTTCGGAAGGGGCAAACCGAAGCTGTGCCTCAAATCGGAACGAACAAGTCCACCCTGATTTGCGCCCACACACACGCACAAGTGATCTTTGTTCTTTCTGCGACCCTGTCGAAGCTTGCAAGCCAACAAGCGTTGCAATCCCCCAAGCCACCTCTTTAATCTTGGACGCCTGGTGCCCTCGTGCCTTCAACATGCAAGCGATCGGAACCTCTGAACCCAGTCAGTTCTTCCGGGAGCTTTGCATCAAACTTGAGCTTCATGAAATGTTGCGCTAGTGGCTTTGGCCCGCTGAAAGAATCTGAAGGGATGTCAGTCACCAGGGACGGGGGTAAGACACCGCCTGCTTCTCGTGGTACAGTAACCTGTGCCTCTCTCCAATGTCTCGCTGACTTACCTAAAGGACCCGGGAAAACCAATCAGATCCTTGAGAATCTTGACTGGAATGCCACAAGGGGAAACCTTAGGTACCAAGCCCGATTTGCCTGGCCAGTGATTTGAAACATGTTGAACATGTGCCCATTTCGCCAGCAAATGGTTGGACCCGTCCCGTGTCGCAAGCGACGCGCTCTTGCCAAGAAAGCCAAAAAGGTCACCTTTGGAGGGGCTCACCTCTTGCTCCACAGCGGAAAGAACAACCAATTCCAAAAATTGGAAGTTTTTTGGACAGTCGATGCGGAGTTTTGGACACCGTCAACAAATTATTATTTTGCCGGAACATGTGGCATGGCATGCCTAAAGCTCAGGTAAAGTGCGAGGGAGAGAGAGAGAGAGAGAGAGAGAGCGAGAGAGAGAGAGAGAGAGGAGCTTGACAGAACGAGAAGGTGGTGTTCCACTTCTCCAGGACACCGCCGGTGAGAATTGGGCAACCTGAAAGCCTCGAGCTTGCGACTTCTAGCCTCATGTTACAATCAAAGTCACCCCAGAAGTGGTATGAGGCAACTGGCAGTCTTTGAAGACACCCGGAGAAAGGCCCCCCGTGACTTACTGACACCCAGAAACTCGGATGCAAGGATCCGCCAATGTTCAGGCAAACCTCTCTCTCCAAAAGGTTGGGCTCAGATCCGGTGAAACCGTTCGCTAATTCGCGAATCGATCCGCGCCTGTCCATCAAGCTGCACAGAGCCGCCTGGGCCGGGGCCCGCGATCCCGCGTACGGCGAGCCCTTTTGGCCCAAGTCAGAATCATAAAATCCGGCACAAAAATGGTGAACCCAACACCATGTACAGAGTTGCCAAGGCCGCAGCTATGTATAGTTGGGAGTGTCCTTTAATCTTATCTTAATGTAGGGTTAGCGAGGCGGCGCGTGGCTGTCTATGGTTGAGAGTGTCCCAACCTTCATCTACAAAGTGACTCTACGGGCCTTCATAAGATCTAAAACGTTAGACTAAAAACACGCCTCCCAACCTTCATCTACAAAGTGCTCTGCGGGCCTTCATAAGATCTAAAACGTTAGACTAAAAACACGCCTCCCAACCTTCATCTACAAAGTGACTCTGCGGGCCTTCATAAGATCTAAAACGTTAGACTAAAAACACGCCGGTCATGTGCGGGAATTGGTCAGAACTAGCGACTGCGAGCATATTGCACAACAAACTGAAGCTGAACAAAAAGGGAAGCCCATTCAAACACAGTTGTTCTTATGTGCCAACCAAGGGCAGGTCTGGTCAAATTGTCAGGGCACGCCTCAGCTTGTGCCCATAGCCCAAAATAATATAATTGTCTGCTGGCTTTTTGGTGAACCTCAAAACGTGACATCATGCCAAAAGAGGTCCAGGCAAAAAGGTCATTCTTGTGCTAGGAGTGGCTAGCTACCGCCTCGGTGATGAATAGCTGAACAAGCTTGTGCTCCAGCTGAAAGTGATGAAGGTGACAGATCCAGCAGCAAACATGAAGGAGACAAATGCAGCTGATCAAATGAAGGATCGGTCTCCAGCCGATAAAATGAAGGTGACAGATCCAGCCGAAGAGCTGCAAACCGAATCTCCGACGCTGGGCGCGGCGCTCCGAAGCCGAGGTGGGCCAGCTCCACCGCTTCCAATCCCTCGCCTGCTGAAGCTTCAGCGAGCGTCTCATGGCGTTTCTGCATGTAGCGATATAGAACCGCCCGAATGCAAGCAACACATGTGCAAGGATCCAGGTTGTCTAAAGCTGGTTTCAGAGGTTTGCCATCCCTAGCCTAGCAAGGACCCACTGACGAAAGACCATGACACACATACACACCTTGATGCACCGAAGTCCGCCCGATGGGCGAGTCCACCGACCCCATAGCCCCGCCTCGGCCCAAGCGTGCAGCAGCACCCTCCAGGGCAGATGTGGCTAAGGAAGGCCAAGCCTCCAGTGAGCGGCGCAGCTGGAACCCAATGGCAATGTCTTTTCTAGAGGATTCTCCTGGAAAACCCTGTTGGAATCCGCCTCATGTTGATGCGAGGGAGCCAGTCAATGGAAAATGTCCTTACTGAAACCAGCCAGAAATAAGAAGAAATGGCCCCAATTGAAGTGGAATCATTCTACACCTCCCACCAACAGCAGGTCGCTTGTGGGAGGGCACTTGCAACACCTGGTTCCTAAAGTGACCTTCTGTCAGGCATGGAAATATGCAAAAAGGGCAAACAAATGGTTGGTCACTGATTTGAGGTTTCAGTCCGACAGAAAAGTAACACCAGGACTGAAAGTAGCAGCAGGCAAGCGCTATTGACATTGGGGAATTCCCAATCCGCCCGAAGGTCTCCCGAAGGAAGCCAAGGGCTGACTGGCCTTCTGGAACCACTACCATGAACGGCGGAGTGAGCAAAGTGCACGCCTTGCGCGAAAAATCCAAGGCACAGACGTGTTGGGGGAATGGCCTTCCTAGCATTTGCACCATGCTTTCCTGAATTTGCATCGACTGTCGGACATTTCCAGTCAGTCACATGTGCCCAACTGCCAGCATGCGGATTGCCATTGCCATCGAGGCCCCCTGCAAAGTAGCCAGCTGCCAGGGCCACCCGCGCCAACTGGCCAACATGTCCGGAACATCCCATCGCAACTCACCTGGAGGTTCAACCAATATGAGTACAGAGTACTAAGTCACCGCCCTGAGGAATTTTCCAAGATGAGAACTGGACAGCAAGAAGGGAAAAGTCATCTTCATGAGGCCAAGCCGATTGCAATGTAAAGCAGAACGGCCTTTGTGAGACCCAACTCCTTCGACGGCAACTGTTCGTTGAGAGTCGCCCGATTCTGTGGCGCCCAGAGGCTTAGTCACCCACATCCCAAACAAAAGCTTGGAGCGGGTCCAATCTCCAATCAATCGGTGAATGTTGAAAAGTTCAGCTATAGCACCTGAGGTATCCTCTAAGAAGCATAATCTTCACCAACGTCCATCGGGGAATATGGGTGGCTTCGAACGGTGGAACCCACGGTAAGACGTGCGCAACCCTGAAACTTGGAGGTCCAACAAAGTTTCGGTAGAATGATACATCCAAACTCCATTGGCCCGCCCAAATGTACCCTGACATAGACCTAGGACACGACATGGGAAAAAGCTGTTGGGGTGCTGGCAGGGGTTCCCCCCCAACTTTAAGACAACAATATCCCAATTTCCACCTTCAGCTGACTCGCGCCTGCGTTGCGCTCAGAGAGGCCGCGCCTGCAATCACCCGAAAAAGAAAGTCCCAGAACAAACCCTAGTTCAGTAAATGGGGGGCGCGGTATTATTTTGGTCCTAGTTTGAGTGATTTGGTCTTTGGTCCCAGTTCTTCGGTCGACCGAATTTGCTCGTTCGATTTTCAGACGCAGCCACTGGCTCATGAAGTTGAGTTGAGTTGACTTGAGAGAAAGTCAGCAACTACGACCAACATGAACCAACGAAACGGCCCCCCAAAACTGACTACGACCAAAAAGACACTGAAACGACCCAAGTGAGAGGGCTACCTAGCACGGGAGGCCGCGTGCTATCGGCGCCTATTGGCGTTGGCGGGGTCACTTGCTGCAAGGGCTACCCAGCACATATCACATGTTCTTGCCAGATAGGTGCTGCCACGACTCACACAGGCTTCCCGTAGAATGCCACGCACATGGAAGTTTACGAAACATTCAGCATGCCATGACAAGCGACAGAACCAAATCCCAAGATGAATTCAACCGCCTGCAAACAAGCGAATCCAATGAGTCACTAGAAACCCCCAAATTTCCCCCCCAAGACAAAAGGTCGGTCCAACCAAGTCGCCATCGGATTAGTCGACCTGGATGATTAGGGGAGTGCCCAAGGCAAAGGTTCACATCTAAAATGGGACACCCCCTAAACCAGTGAGTGGGTATTCATCCTGGGTTCTCATTGACCCAAAGCCTACATTTTACTGGAAGAAGATGCTGACCGGCTCCAGAGCCTAACACATTGCGGCCATGTGTCTCTCCCCTTTCTCCCCAGCCTGGCGCAAAAAGCGAACCTTGGACACGGACGGGGTGCGACAAAGCCCCTGACAACGCTAGAAGCGCCCTACAGCCGCCACAAAAGACCATGCGAATCTCTCAGTGATCTATGGTCGTGGGAACAGGCCGCAAACATACAAAAGCAAATCCACCCCCGCCCAATCAAAGACTTGCATCAAGCGAGTGACCCGGCTTGGAATGCACATGCGCACCTGCACTCATGCATCTTGCTCACACCGGCCGCATGCGCAAGCCGACCAACCCAGGGCCCCGAGGAATCTGTCCACCTTGAGTGCCTTATCTCGACACTGTCCTATCAAGATGTCATGTCCAGTGGACAACCATTGCTCCCTTGCGAACCGGGCTGGCCGAAACCTCAACTCACTTGCCCAAAGCACCCAGAAATAAAAGGTTAACCTTTTGGGGCCATGACTAAAACTGAACCAAAACTGGAAAACCAAAAGGTCAAAAGGTCGGCTTTGGGCAACTGAGTCAATTCAGTTCCATGGCGACCTTGGGATGACATCACGTTGACAAGTTGTGTAGCCACCACCCAGTTCCGACTTTTTAAATTGAAAGTTATGGCCGCGTCAAACTGAAATCTCCAGAAGTGGTTTCCTTTGGCGCCCCTTAAAGCCCCACAAGGAGGCCCTCGCTGCACAAAGGTACTCTCCTACCAACTAACAGCTAACATAGAAGGCCCCTTTCAGGGTTTTTCCTGAAGGGGTTGGCATGAATTAAAACTGGTGCTTGAAACATTTTCTTCCAGACTGGTTCATCAGCTTCTTGAAGAAAGCCTTGGGGAGCAATCCGTTTGAAGTGCAGCACCCATGGCAGGTGCCCATAGACCCATCTGAGTCTTTCTCAAAATGGTGGACCGCTTTTGGTAACTTTCAGGGAAGGCCAACAGGACACCGCGGCCATGTTAGGACGTTCGGACCGACTCCTATGAGAAACCCAAGCCGCCTATGCCGCCCAAAAATTCTGCCCAACGCGTGGCCCGCGGCGCGCTGGGGCGCAGGCGTGCTCTCTGCAGCAGATCTGCCTCCAGAAGTGAGGCGCGCATGGCCGCGGACAAGACCTGCCGGTCCGCCAAAACCGTGGGTTGGAACCACAAGTGGGGGCCAGGTTCCTCAGACCACCAGTGGCAGTGGCCATGGGGAAAAACACCTGCAAGTATTGGAACCTGGAGTCTCCATGATCCTTCAAAAATGAGGCCATGACCTCTTTCTTTTGGGCTCGCCCCATTCTTGAAGGGTCATGCAGACTCCGAGCGCTACTCTTTAGATTTTTTAGCCACCTTCGAAATTGCAAAAAACGAAAAACACTGGTTGGGAATCCGAAGCCTGGCCTCAACCAAGGCCGCCGGCGGAAGAGGTCGCTGCTGCAGCCTCATGGCGAAACAAAACACATCGCGCCAGTTGCGTTCACAAGAAGCCCGTGGCTTTACACGAAAGCATGTAATCTTAGCTATCTTTATACAGGAGCAGGACGACACGACAGAAACATCAAGTGGGTATGGTTGAAACCCCTTCGCAAAACAAGCACAATCTCGAGCACCTTGCGACCTCTAGCGGCCGTACAGGATGGGCTCTTGTTGACATCGAGAAGCACCAATACAATTTCAATACAAAGCACATGCAAAGCTCTGGCGCAAACAAATGCGCAAATGGCAAGTGAAGCTGTGTCGACTGCAACTCTCATTGCGCACACCAAGGCAGCAGGCAGTAATTTGTGAGCGGCCCGATCATTTGTGTCAAAACTGGAGACCTTTCCATATTGTGAGCCATCCTTTGCGCCCAAATAAAGTGCCCAACTCGTCTTGATAGTTATTCTGAATATCATGCATTCTCAAACTCGCCCGAACTCAAGGGACTCTGCCCGAATAGCTGCCAAGCAAGTTGAAATAGGTGCCGTGCCCCCGATTGAAAGCCGGCAAGCTTTGCAGCAATTGGACGGCCAGGATGGGCACATGGCTTACGCAATGGGATGTACATGGCACAGGTCAGCCGCGCACAAAAACTGGGAAGCGAGCTCCTGCAAGAGCGGCGACACCTGCAGCATTTCAATTAGCATGACGGGGTTCCACTACCGAAAGGGGGGGGAGTGACTATTGGACTGGTTGGTATACAACGGGTACTGGTGATAAACGGCAGTTTAGCCTGGGGGAGTGCTTTGGGGGTTTGTGAAAGCCGCAACAAGAAGCTCAGATTCATCTGGGTGATAAGTGCCTCCTCTGTGACATTGCAAAGGCTCATGCCTCCTCACAAGTCAATAGTCCCCTTGCAGCGAAACAAATGTTGACTTTGAGCTCAGTGGAAAAGAAAAACACTCAAACTCCTCTAAGGCAAAAGGATCAACACATATCCGGACTACTCCTTGCCCCCTTGGCGTGGTGCACGTTCATGGTAAAGCTGCAGGCTCCAAGCGTGGCTTGCACTAAACATATCTGCTGACCGCCGGCCAGCTCCGGATAGCCAGCTCTTAAGACATGTGCCATGGGCAAGAGGCTTCGTCCAACTATACCTGGAAGCTTCCCGAGAGAAATTCGCCAAGGCCTTCAACCGCACCCAGGTGGCACAGTGGAGTTGCAATGTGCCTCGCCAGTGGACTTTTATTTCACGCAGTCTCGCTTTGTTCGTTGCTTGTTGTGTTCATTCTGCTGGCTCTGCAGAGCCCAACACTTTGCCACTATCCATGTCGGTCGGCTCCTGGCTGCTGCAAATCAAAACGCTTGCTTGGAACATATTTGGCGTGCATCCCTGATCCTCAACAACTGGCCCCACATCATGCGCCCAATGCAGCGGTTAAATCTGCTGAACCGCCCGGCTGACGCGTTGGCTTCTCCCGGCGAGAAAAAGGTCCGCCCCCCGCTCGCTCGCTCGCTGGGCAGCCCACCAGGCTGCTAGGCACCTGGCTTGACGCACCTGTTTGGCTTTTGAGCGAAAAATGTTGCGTTGAATTCTGTTCTTCGAAGCCATGCCTGCTAGTACAACCCTTAAGTATTCCAAGCCATGCCTGCCAGTACAAACCCTTAAGTATCCTTCAGTGGCCTCGGCAAAACACATCTTATGCTGCTGGCTAAGCAGGCCATTCTTTCTTCAAATATGGTCTTTGAATACCGTTCTTTTGGGCGCAACGCACTTGTTGAAAGATCTGAAAGGCTTGCCTGGACAGGTTTGATCAATATAGACCAGTGTTGGGTGCTCGTCCTTCTGGTCCAATCTTCACACCCAAGCATGATGTGACCGTAGACAAACCGCAGAACAACTACGTGTTTGGCGTGAAACCATCATTGTTATCGTGGAACGCCAATTTTTTGCGTGCAGGCACGTGCACCTCGCAACGTGAATATCCACCAACCGCAAGCTCTGCCGACCACGTTGAGCCCCATGTGTGCTGTCAATCCTATTGTGGCTTATTGGTTGACACGTTTTTGAGGGGAAATCAGGAGACCTTTAAGGGGCTTCGGCTGTCCTGGTTTCGTCTGGCAAGGCACTCTTCAAAGTCTTTGCCAGGACGGCCAGCCGCGCCAACGCCCCCAAAGCGCGGCAGAGTTGGCCTGCCCAAATGCAGAGTCATCACGAGGCTCAAATGGCTATGCGCTTTATCGCCAAGTGCTGCTTGTTTCCATCCACTTTACCCCAAAAACCAGCAACAGTGACTGAAAAAAGCGATCGCCACTTGGCTAGGTGAGTTTTAATAAGGAACCCGAACAGGTGCACATCAGAGTTCGGGGATCCATGTCCACCACTTTGGAGTTCCCAATTAAAATTCATAGCCAAATGAGTCCACTTCAAGGGTGAGTCGCACTCCAAACGAGAATTTGTGTTTGCAATTCCTTCAGGAATGATCATTACCAGAAGACAGAAGTACATGTGCTAAACTCGCAAAACATCCTCCCGGGGCATTGGTCAAAGGCATCGATGTTCTTTTCCGCCCTGCGTGACCAAACGCCTCATCCCCGAACTGGTGCTTCATTTAGAGAAGAACGAGAAACTTAGAGAACAACGAGAAACAAATACGCAAAACTGCGAAAACAGCACCAACCCTATGTCTCCTAAAACGGTGGCTCACCTTTGGATCGCGCTCTCAAGGCGGCCAACGCAAGTCCAGGATCCCGTGTGACATTGTTCAATCCCAAAACTTGGAATCGACACGTTCTAATTTTGACCTGGACAAGCATCAAAAAGTTAAGAAAATGGTGAAACAATGTAAGATGCTACGAAGCGATGCTCAAACATGAACCAAGGGATCCCCAACCGCCACTGGCCACCGGGAACAATGTGTGCCTCGCTTTTCCCGGCTCCATGAAAGAATTGAGTCTCTCAAACCCACACTCCGGCAAGATGTATGGGAATGAAGGATCTTTCTTGGGACGGGGGAACCATCGGAGGGAAATAGCACCGCTTTACGGGACAAAAAAACAGATAATGACACTTGGAGTGCGTACCCGGGAAGTACAAATAACATTTTTGTACCCCAAAAGCGTGGGACCTGCGGATGTCCATCCCACTCCAACCTCGCCTGAGGAAAGGCCCGCAACACAGGCGGCAGCTACGGCTGCAGCCAAGGGACCGGACCTTAATTAAGCCAAGGGGGAGATGTTTTTCGAGCAAACCAAGGGCTGCCTGATGAGGGTGCCGTTTTCGGGTGTAGACCAATTGAGGACGTCCTCCTTTTGAAGGGGGGGGGGATTCTGTTTTTGAGGGCTTGTTTTTGCTTTTTCATGTGGTGTGTGTTTGACAGAACTGTTTGAGGACAACAGCAAACACCCGGTTTAGGGATTTTCGTGAAAATGATCCAGCCGGCAGGACTCGAGCGGATTGGAGATGAGTGCTGCGCCATCAAGCACAAAGTCACAACTAAAGCTGAGCGAACAAACCTCTTAAGCCATCTTGCGACTTACTTGGCTGGGTTAGCGTTTTCTCACCCCGCAACAACTCAAGCTTAGGGCAGCGGGGCCACATTCCTTTGCAGGGTTTAAATGGTGAGTTTGCTAACCCCAAATTGCATTTAAGCAGGATATGCCTTCTGACTCTTAAGAAGTAAAATGACAACCTAGTAAGAGAAGTGTAGGCACCCGCTTGACGCTCTAGGGGGGGTGAAACCATGCGTCAAGACACCCTCAAAACCACCTTCCAAAAGGTGATTGAAACGATGGCCAACCGCAGTGTTTAGCCTTTGGCCCCATTTACCAAGGTGCCATTATGGAAGAATTGAGCCAGAATTGGCTGCCATTCTGGAAGAATATTTCTTACCAGACTTACCAGATTACCTTTTTCTTGAGCCACAGCAACGGATTGCAGAAATGGACATTGCCTCTATTGGAATCGGTCGGTCTGTAGCTCCTGGCTCTAGGCCCTGCTTCTTGCCCTGGGCCAAAGCCCAGGCTGTGGTCACCTAAGGCTCAGCGATCGCGAGTTGGAACCACTGAGGTTGAGGCAATTGCTTGATTCCACCCAGCATGGGAACCCACTAAACAACCGAGGTTTGATATATTTTGCGGACAGAGACCGGAGTCTCGTTGAACCGTGGGAAAATGGGCGCGCGGCATTTGAGCAGTTTCTGTGGTCCTTCTGCTTGGGTGGAAACTGTGGCAGTTATTCAAAGACTTCAAGTCTATGACTAGACTGCGTTCGGGGAGGAAATGGTATCTAAATGGATTCACAAGCACTATCACCAACTAAACCTTCTTAGAGCCGAAGCAAAGGTTTGATGTCGGTCGTGCAAAACTTGAAGGCTCAAGTCTTCAAGTGCGCTAGCATTTGGTATTTGCTGGCACGCCTCAAATTGTCAAAATGGGAACCTGCTGCTTGGATAGCGTTGGACGGGAAACCGCAAGACACCCAGGTGGTCCCGAATTGTGAGAGCCCATGCAGAGCACTGGGCCCACCGCCTTGATTCATCCCAGCTTCTTTTGGTGGTGAGCAGGGGGTCTGACAAGAAGAACGTGATCTATCTCCTTGTCAAAGCATTGGAGCAAAGATAATAGAGCATTGCGCAAAAATACAACCGATCTTGCAAGTCTCAAAGGTATCGTTTTTTTTCGGGTCTGATGCACGCTCCCTGAGCTCGGAACCAGCTCTTCTGATGAAAGCCTGGGACGGCACATCCTTTTCTTGTGTACCGGAGCCCAAAATGCCTCAACTACTCTACTTGCCGCGCGCGGGATTCGTGCCAAACCAGCAGCACCAATTCTTGCAAAGACTTGATCTTCAAGTTCCACTCGGAACAAAGAAGCGTCATCTGCTGGCACCGTGCGGTGCCTCAGCTTCTGCCCGACTGGAAAGTCCTGAGGCCAGCGGCGCTGGGACGGAGTCACGCCGCCTCAGCGTGTCGCAACCGCCGGAAGGGTTGGAGAGGAAGAAACAACCGAAACACTTCCACGGGCAAAGGCTGTTTGGAAACGACGCGGCTTGCAACGTTTGGCAAAAGATATGGAAATGCAGCAGGCAATTTGGCAAAATATGGAAATGCAGCAGGCAATCTTTCAGCTGTCCCTTGTCGGTAATTTGGCTTTGTGGCTTGGACGTTTGAGTGTGTCTGTCTATTCAGTTTCAACCAAAACCCAAAAATCAAATTCCAAAACAACCTATCCAAACCTCTCCAGGTCAATGTAAACTATGGAACTTGTATCTAAAGTGTCACTGCACGACAGCCTTAGAAGTGGCTGCCGTGTGCTCAGACATGACTTCCACGTGAGCAACAAGTGCTCTTAATTACTCATCGTGATTCTATCCCCACACGAGCCTCGACAAACACGCAAATCAACACACAAACAAGCAACCAGACAAAGCACCACCCAACCAAGCAAGCGAGCAGGCAAGCTTGACAAGCAAGCGAGCGAGCGAGCAAAGCAAAGCAAGCAAAGCAAGCAAAGCAGGCAAAGCAGGCAAAGCAAGCAAGCAAGCTTGACCAGAAGCAAGCAGGCAAGCAAGCACTCTTAGCAAGCTGGCAAGGAGACAACAAACAAACAAACAAACAAACAAACAAACAAACAAACAAACAAACAAACAAACAAACAAACAAACAAACAAACAAACAAACAAACAAACACACAAACAAACAAACAAACAAACAAACAAAGAAGCAAACAATCAAACAAACAAAAAGATACAAACAAAAAACAAACAAACAAACAAACAAACAAACAAACAAACAAACAAAGAAACAAACAAAGAAAGAACGCGCACACACACACACATCAAAGGCCCGTTCAAACACAAACACCCTTTCAAACAAAACACACTCGGATGCGACACATCCACGCACCCAAAAGGAACACACACAGGCACGAGGCCCACAATCAATCAAGCCCACAAGCCAACCAACGCACAAACACTGGCACACAACAAATTCATGCACTTTTGCAGCCACGCAGACTCTTTCGAGTCATTCGCTCCCTCAATCACTCGCGCACGCGCCAGGCCACGCACAGATTCGCGCACTAACCCGTTCACTTGCTCCCTCAGTCCCCAAAGGGAAACAGCTTGTCCAAGTAAGAATATCCGGAATAGTTCCAGGGTTTTAAAAGGCCATAGAAATATAGGAAGCAACAATCTGCGGTCACCACACCTGCCAGACTAGCAATACAAACAAGTCATTTAGCCTGCCACCTTGAGCCAACAACTGGTGCCACAAATGTGTGGAGTTGCGGTGAAGTCATAGCTATTATTTCCCTCCGGAGCAAGGCTTCCAGTGGCAATCGGTGACTTGGCTATGTTGGCCCACGGCAAGACCCTGGAATTGGAAAACACCAACATCACACCTTGGGTTCAAAAGGCAAAGAGTTCTTGGAAGTGGACGGGAGGATTTTGGAAGATGGCCGTCCTCTTGGCAAGGCCTCCTGTCAGCTACTATAATTGTTGAAGAAAAGGGTAGAGGCCCTACCAAAGGCCCTACTCTCTTGTTGGTCAAAGTTCAACCCTAAACCCAGGATTCCATTTGTTTCATTGTTCAGCTTTTAGTCAAGGGCAAAGATGCTGATCCCTTTTTCAGGCCATGAGAAACGGCCGGGAAAGCTTACAACGCCGAAGTCGGTCTTGAAGCTCAGCTCAGCTCAGGCTGGGCGGAGCGCTGCGTGCAAGAGCTGTGGAGCCCAGCTGCATCTTGCTGAAGCCTGCCGTGGCCGTTGTCGCCCATTGGGCCGCCAATGGGGGCATCTCAAAACATCTGGAAATCCAGCCCTGGTTCAACACCCTCATGGCGTGGTCGTTCAAACCAACTAGTCTGTGTAATGTCAGCAGACGATTAGTAAACCCCCCCGATTAAAGGTTTCCCCTTTTCCCCCCCAGGTTCCAACCAACACTAAAGTAAAGTGCCAACAAGATTTCCAAAAAAAAACCTACCCAATAATTTTTGAGCCCTCCCCAAACCCCTCCCCAAACCCCCCCCCTGATTAAAGGTATCCCTCTGCAGCCCCCAAGCCAACAAAACCTGCCGGAAAGGTGCTTTCCTTCTTGCTTAGTATTTGCTGAGTCTGTGCTTAAACCCACCAATACTAAGTCACTATTGAACCCCTCAAGTTTTCCCAAAAAATGTGCTTCCCCCGAAATGCATTTTTCCTTCTTAAAATTTGTTTAAAATGACAAGGTTTTCAAGCTCACAAAGGGGACCCCCCTTGGAGGCCAGTCCCCCCTCATTAACAGAAAACCCCCCGCGATTAATCAGGGGTCTTTTGGGCTCAAAACCCACAAAATATGATGTTGCCTTTTAAAGTCCTACTGCCCCGAAGGGACCAGAAGTAAGAGGACGAGGACCGCAGGGGCTCCAGACTAATCAGGGGGGTCCTCCCAAAAATCTCATTTTTTGGGACTTGTCCAAACCTTGTCAACCTTGAAGGGGGGGGGGGGGAGGGGGGTTTACTAATCAGTTGGCACCATTAAGACACGGCCACCATGGATAGTACCGCAAGTCAACTTGTGTGGACGGCTGGTGCATCCAAAAGCCGGTTTTCAGCTGGGCACTTACCGGGGCAGGGGGTCCAAAATCTTGATAACTGCCAAGCAAACACGCGTTCTTTGTCGGTCTCAACCTGCCAAATCTTCGGTGCTTGTTCTATTGCTTCCCCCTTAGAACCACCTCTAAACACGCTGCCCCTGATTGGTGGTTTGGGGATCTAGACCCCTGGCTTGTTGTTGGTAAATGCGAAGCCACCCCGTAACCCCCCAAACCACAAAACCAAACCACCGATGAGGCGAAAGCCGACTAAAGGGTTCCCTGGGTACGCACAAAAACACAAACACAAACACAAACACAAACACACTCTCAGTTGCCCAAAACAAAGACCCAGACATAAAGGGCTTCATTTTTTGGGTTTCTAAAACTGGAAACCAAACCTCGGAAACCAAAAAGTCAGATCTGGTCGACTCGCTTTGGCCAAAGAGACCAATGCCATGTGATTCGCCGACTTGCCTGGCCAGCGCGGCGCAGACCGTGGCCAGCTCTGGGGTGCGGAAACTGGCCACCTCCCAGCTCGATCGCTTCGGCCGGGTGTCTTTGTTGGAGTTGGTACCCTGTTGGGCTGGGTTCTGAAGGGGGCCAAAAGGAACACCAGGCTTTTTGGTTGTGCCTCTATTTTGGCACCTACCCAGGCTTCAATCAAGTTCAATCCCACCCAAGAAGCCGGAAAAAGAAGGCAACCCACATGCCAGGCAAGCCACAGCAGGACACCGAAAGGGAACACTTCAAGATGGGGTGCTGCCCTTTGACCCTGGAACCCACTTGTTCACCCTTGTGGTTTGCTATGGCTTCTATACTGACAAGACTCGGAGCAACCCTGACGTGCCCATCTAATGACACTAGCATTCAGAAATAATGGACCTTCATGATCGGGGAAATCATTGCAGTTGAGCTTTCTTTGCACATCCCCTGATATGATGCTATGGGCTTACAAAGCTTACACGAACTGCAATCGTTGCCGCTGTGTGGAATCCACTGCCGCTTGTTGCCCCCCCAGCCCCCAGCTTGTTGCTTGCCGTGGTCACCCCAGCTTCCACGTCCTTTGCACGTCCTTTGCCAGCCCTTGCCAACATCCATGGTCTAGTGGGCAACTGGGATTCAATAAGGACCCCTCTCGAATTCAGCGCCAAGAAAACATTCACCAGGAAGGCACCCGCAGGCCTTTGTGCGTGCAGCACCGGCCAGGGCTCCTCACAGGTCAATGTGAGAAATGGACCTCTGACCTTGCCTCCTGCATAGAGGGCGCCTACAGGGTCTGCGCTTCCAGGTTGGGTATGCTGCGACTAAAAGCTGTGATCTCCAACACAACAAGGCGGCTCCGCCAAATGAGCAAACGGATCATCCATCCCCCAATGACTTCCTGCAGGCATTCGCAGCAGTTGGGTTGGCATCCAGCTACGAGCTCTGCTTCGCACTTCTGATTCTGACAGCTGACAAACGGGCACGTACACAAACAACACAACTAAAACAATCGCGGCCGATGGATTGTAGGTGCCAGCTGAGGCGCAGGCCAATCAGTTCCCGCTCAGCTGACCATCCAGCACCTTCACAACAAATGTGCGCACGGTTTGACCCACATCGCCAACTGGAGATGCCACACAACAAAGGATGGAACTGGATTTGATAAAACATCTGCACGACCATATGCTATGTTACATACCTGTTTGCCCAATAATTACACGTTGGAAACGGCCCCGCAGGCAAAAGAAGAAGTGAGGTGAGACCCACCACTACAACGCGCAGCACCATTCTGGCAGAAAGTTTGCCCTAGATGCACATGTTGAAGTCACCTCGCCCCGGCTTCACCTGTGCGGATGGACCTGTACAGTGTCTCTGGGGATTCAATACTTTTGGACCAATTGCTTGATTCAGCATGCTGAAGTGACTCTCATCGCAAATCCAAAGCCGCCCCTTGCCATAAATGCATCTGCGGAAGACACGCATACCCCCCTGCAAAAAGTGAAACCTGGTTTTGCTGCTTGTTCGGAAAACAAGTCATGGGCCCCATTCAAAGGTCAACCAATACCACCAGAAAGCAGCCAACGGCCGAACAAGGTCCATTCGAGAGACCTCCTCACAATGACCCTCGAAATGGTACCCCGCCCTCCCTGGACAAAAAAAAGGAGCCATGAGCGATACATGCCACTTTAGGGAACTCAATTATCAATGCATGTTGACTCCCTATAAATCAACCCTAGTTTGTTCATAGGGGGGTGTTCCTCTCCAAAAATGATGATTTCAAACTTCAAACCAAACCCAGGGACAACCCCTATTAAAAAATACCAGGAGACCCAAAAACCTCTAACAGTGTGATACCCAAAAAAAACACGATGTTTTTTTTCTTTTTCTGGAAACACAAGGTTTTCAGATTGAGTGATTTACAGGCAACTACACATGTATGTATCTCGCTGGGTTCAGATGGCCTGCCATGGCCCACAGCATGCCAGTGAGCTCCTGCGCTCGAAACCTGGGTGCCGAACGCATGTGACATGGGAACCGGATCTCAGACATGGGAACCCAGGACTACCTCCAATCAGACTATGTTCCTTTGGGCCTTTTTTTTATAAGCGACTACCCTTCCTCCCATCATGGAAGCTGGCAAGAGGGTTTTGGAAGACCATGTTCCTTTGGGGGAGCCCCCTTTCCACTTCCATCAGCGTTGGAATGGGGTTGGGGATGAATAGAAACCCGGGATTCTTTTGGGATTCCCTGCAATAGTCAACCCGCTGGTTAAATAGGGGCAGGAGTGCTTCAATTGATGGGGGCAACACCGCTCAGACATTTTGGGGGCGGGTGTTCCCCGCAAGTGATCCAAATGCCCTCTAAAAGGGGCACGCCCCTTTTAGTGATGAACCAGTTGAGGTGGACAACCCTGGGTGATGATGCCCGCATCTTGCACGGCTTGCACAATGAGACTGGGGACCTGCTTCCTCAGGCTTGTACATGCTTGCAACCTGCTAAGGCTTGCGGTTTATCATTTTCTCAAACTTTCCCCTTCAACATCAGACATGCCATGGGGCTTCTGAAGGCCTTTGGTCGGCTTCGGGGGGGGGGGGGGTTCGGTCAAAAACTCCCAAGCACTGAGCTCACCCCGACCTCAGCTCCCGACTCCTCAGCCCTTTCCGCAGCTTTGGCGGAGAGGCCTTGGACCTGCCAGCCCTCAGGTCCCTCAGGTCACTTCCCCCAAACCGAGGGCTGCCCCCCCAACGATGGCAAACCTCACTGGAGGTCGCCTCGCAAGAATCAAAACACTGGAGGTGTCCATGGGCCGAAGGAATTTCGTGGCCGGGAGTCTGACCAAATCTGACTTCAGGTACTCAAGGGAGCCCATTTGAACATAGACCAACGCCAACCGATGGACAAAGGCATGGGAGACAGTGCACCTGGTGTTGCAACGTGAAGCAAATGTCCTCCGCCGAAACCATGTCAAAAAGGACTGCCTCCAAACCAGAAAGGACGCTTCTGGCCGAACCTATTTGGGGAGGTAGACATGTCAAGTACTTGCAGGGGAAACCACAGGAACCAAGCCCTAATCCTAGCCATTGGGCACTGGGCCGTCTTGCCAGGTGGACGACGTTTGTAACCTCACGGGTTTCAAGCAGGTTCGGCCAGCAGAAAGAGGAACTCGAGAAGTGTTTGTGAAAATAGCAATCCAAAGACATGGCGTGCTACGGCTTGCTAAGAGTATTGGTTAGGTATCGACTAAGTATCTGTTTGAGTATCGGTTCACGGCCTGCAAGTGTCCCACTCCAGAACCGCGGCTTAGCAACAATTGCCATAGCTTCTCGACACATAACAAAAGGCGAGGCGTTTTAGTTTTGACCCAAATGGGTTCGATCACCAACGGGTTCCGAAAGCGGCAGGCGGAAAAGAGATGCTAGTCCTGCGAGCGGAACCAAATCATTTTCACATGTTGACTCCGCTTGGCTCGGAGCAAGAGCGGCTCCGGCTGAGCAGCCGGACAAGCTCAGGACTTTGCTGAGCAACCTGAGCGAACTGGGCGGTGCAAGCGCGCAGCGAGTGTGTCTGGAGTCCGGGACTGCTTTTGTTCTAGAAAAACGGAAAATAACATGAAGAAAATAACTAACATCTTAACAGCCCCAAAAGCAAAAGAAGCTTGGGTTCTTCATTGAGATGCGCTGAGCTAGCCCTGACCTCTTCGACCTCCGTTTCCGGGCGCCGACATCTCACCCGTTCGTCGACTCCGACGTTCCTAGGGCTCCCAGCAGCGAAGGACCACAGCAGATTTGCCAGGTGCTGGGCACCTCAAAAGTCGATGGCCGAGACCCCCCAGGCTTTTACGAGGAGGACTGGGCACCTCAAAAATAATAATGTATTTATTTATTAAAAGCCAAAAAAAACGACACCTCCGTCCAAAACACCCCCCGTGGCTTCACCCCAAAACCACCTAAGAAAAAGAAGAAGAAAAAAACGACACCCCTGTGGCTCCCTCCAAACCACCCCCCCGTGGCCCCTCCCCAAAAAACACCTAAAATACAAACAACACACCTGTAGCTCCCCCCCAAGAAAAAAGAAGAAGACATATTTGTGTGTGGGGGGGGGGGGGAAAAATTTGTTGCGGGGGAACTGGAGATGTTTGAAGGCAGTGTGTGCACAAGTTGCATAGGCTTGGATTTTCTAGGTCTTCCAGTAGAGAGGTTCGAATCGGGGTACCCTTGTTTCCGTGGTGCTTTTCTATAGGGAACCCTCCCCCAAAAACGGGTAAAATTGATTCTTGGGGGACCTAGGTTTGAATGATGCTCTTGCACATTAGCTTTGACCTGGTGTAGCAAGTGCATACTGTTGTCCTGCATCAAGGGGTCCGTCTATCTGCGCATACAGGCCAGTATGTTCAGAATATCTAGAACTTCCTGCGGCAGAAACTTCTTCCGCCGTGCCTTGCGGCGGAAATTCCAGCCGCATTCCCGAAAACCAGCTGCGCAAAAAGACAAAAACCGCCGCAACTAAAACAAAAACGCCCCAACGATGCTTCCAGGCTGAGCACAATCCATGTGTCTCCCAGCTAGCAAACACGCTGAGCACACGCCGCTTCTTTCTAGCTCCATTCTCTGAACAATGTTTCAAGGCAAGCATGCTGTCATGGACGACAGCTTGCGACTGGAATCGTTCAATTCGTCAAGGATCGTCAAAGCATCCAGAGCCAAAACAAGTCTTCTCAGTCTTTGCCACTCATGTTGCCAGTTGATCCCAAAATGTGCAGATGCAAGCCGAGGAGAGCTTTCAACCCCACAGCCTGCCAAAACGACCACCAGGGACCACTTTTTTTCTACGGGAATTTCCGCCGCATTCCCGCCGATTTCCATTTCCGCAGCACTCACGCCGATGTCCGCCGCAAACCGGGGGACGAACAAACAGAACAAATGCAGAAAAAAAGCACAGGCTGTAGTGGGTGATTTCGGCCGAGCGGGCTTATCGCGCTCCTTTTGCACAAGCAAATTCTCCCTGCACCAAGGAGCAGCGGCAGCGCTGGACCCCTTGGAGTAAATTGCATACCGGTCCAGCTTTGCATGTTTCACCTCATGTTCCTAGGTGAACCTCACGCACAAAGGCTCGCGCAACCTGATTTGAGCCAAATGTCACAAGTGCGAAGTCGTGCAAGTTGTTGTCCTGTTAGCCGAGGCGAGCGGATGTGAAAACAAAAGTTCAGTCGCAATTTCAAAAAAGCCCGCAAATTAGGAAGAAATGCCGCAAATCCAAAAAGGCACCTGTTTTGAATTGCGGCAGAAAATTTCTGCCACAACGAGCTGCATGGACAACGAGACCTGTCGGGAGAAATCTAAGCAATATGACGACCGTAAACTAACAATTAAAGTAATATGAGAGGGGTAGGGAAACAAGGGAACAGTACAAGCTATTTTAAACGGTCCAAGAGCAAGGCCGACTCTGCTTTTTAGAGGGGCGAGTGAGGAAACGCACAAGCAACAGTCCTCGAATCCAAAACGCGAAGCAAGCAACTTCCGGCAACATAGTTGCAACTGGTCAGGTCGCAGGTAAAGGCTTGGTCGCATGCATCTGGGCATCGGGGCTGCACGCATGTCAGCGCACAAGTGTCAGCTCGCTTAGCCACGCGGCCTAGCAAACAGGCGCTAGCGGAGGCGAGCAGTCTGCCGTGGTACAAGTGGCCGGCGGCCACTGTTGCCTATGGCTGACGTCGGGGGGCAAGCGCTGAGAAAAGTGGGCGCACGCCTCCAGCAAGCCAGCCTGCGTGGGACGACATGTGCATTCCCGCAACGCATTTTCGCAAGCAAGTTCTGCATGCGCAGATCCTTTGCGTACGGGTCTCCGCTTTCTCAAGCTGAACAAGAGCAAGTTCATAGAGAAAAAATGCCTAAATGTGAGAGGTCCCAAGCGCCCACAATCAAAGCACAGGCCTGGTCACATCAGGGAGCAGCTGCTCAACATCCTGCAGCAGGGCGCTTGGAACCCGGTTTCAGGTGGGCTCTCCATTGTTCCAGCCGCTCTGCCGGCTGCCTGGGCTTCCTGAGCGCTTGGTTTCATACAGGTCTGTTGATGCTTCTCGCAAAGGCTCTCAGCGAAAAAACGCCAATGCATCTAATACAACCCTGCAAGCCGATAGACCTCAGTAGCCGTGCCATACTGAAGACTGCGTGCAGTGACTGTGCATCAACATCACCCGAACATTGAGGAGCTGGCAGCCAAGGCTGCGCTGTGGAAAGCTGCAGCCAAAGGAGATGCACGGTTTGCCACCAAAAAGTGCCCGGTGCCGCGCAGGCTGGTCGAGACGGAGCGCTTCACGCTTCCGTAGCAGCTGGTAAGATAACGGCTGCAAGCCTCTTCCAGCGTCTTGGAGCTGAACAACCGGTCCAAGCCTGCCATCTTGTTAAAGCAAGCAGCAACACTTGAAGAACACTGAAAGACCTGACCCGCCTGCGAACGCACACGCGCAAACAGACTGAAACAAAAACAGCTGATGGACAGCGACCGGGGTCTTCGCCAGCATTGAGCTGAGAGTCCCGCGCGCGTCAACACAGCCACTGCTATTTTCCCTAAGCGCATACCATGAACCAATTCAATTCTGTTTGGCCTCTCACTGACCTCGTCAGGGGGCCATCCACGGCTGCAGACTTGGCTCGGCCAAGAGTCCTGACTGCTAGATCACAGGTGCCGGCTGAAGGACACTTGCATGCGATTGGAAACTGCCACGGGCTGCGCACTTGCAAGCCGCCAGGAGTTCAGAATGCCAGATCACGCGTGAATCCTTGGAGTGGCACCAGGCTTGGGTCAAGTTGGTTCCTTGGGCACCCCCTTCCAACGAACCATTTGAAGGAAAGACAACCATCCAGCTAGGCGCCATGGCGGCGCTAGGCTTGTTGCCAAACACACAACACAAACATATTTGCAGCAACCTTAGACGAAGGAAAATGACGGGAAATGAAGCACATTCGGAAGTTTGACTTTCAAAGGAAGGGACATGAAGCCAGACCACCCCTACCCCTTCAAGCCTTTGAACATTTTACAAGCCTACGAACCTCCAAACGTAATGCCAACGGGCTTTGAAAGGGCACACCTCAGCGCGTCAGGTCTCGGGTTGAGCAGTACTGGCACTACCTCCGGTACCATTCGCGGTGGCACGCTTCTCACTTCATGGCGGCCGAATGAGCCGTCTCGAGCAACTAAAGCTGCATGAAAGGCGCATGCTCAATGATATGGGTGTTTTGGGTTGGGCTTGGGTTGGGGGTTGCAGCTCAAACCGAAGAAAGCCAAAGATCACCCTGCCAGCCCCATTCACCCCGCCAACTACCCCCACAAAATGGGAGATTGCAATTGTTTGAAGGTGGTTTGAGGGTCTCAACAGTGCCTTTCAAGGGAGGCTGAGCGAGAAAAACTTTAACTTAGAGCGGCCGCAAAAAGAAAACACAGAATGTGTCACCAATGAATCCTGAATGAAGATCTTCAGTGGGCAACCATTGTAATCATATCTGCCTGCCTGAGTGCAACACGCGGGAGCTCAGTTGTTGGCAGCTGCTGCTCTTGTGGTTTCGTCTCGAATTGATCTGTATCCAGGCAACAAAGAATCAACAGCCCAACGGGCACATGTCCAGCTGAAGATTGGTCATGGACCTCTATGTTTCTTGTTTAAAACCATGGCACATCTCGAGAAACTTGCCAACACATCATGTTCAAACCAAGCGGGTCACAGGTGAGCAGCACTGAGCCTGTTCGGATTCCCAAGTTGTGACATTTTAATTAAACATCAAGCCACAAGCACACTGCACCAGAACTGCCTTGGCAGGCGATGCTTAATTAAGCCCACAAAGCGACATCGCTTGGAACGCTGGCAGAACCAGAATGCGAAGCCATGCCATCCAAAAACGGAACGTTGGGCTTAGGGTTTCGGAAGGGGTTTTGATTCAAAGATAAACCGAATTCAAGCTTGTATGGAAATGGTATGACACGGTGGGCGCCCTTTAGTTCTCCTGTTTTTTTGGGGGGGCGCTGAAGATGGAACCCGCGAACCGACCACTTCAGCAGCCGCACTGCCGGGTCCCATCCAGTTTCATGTGTCCCCCGAGCAAGCAAACATGCAAACATGCTGAGCACACGCCGCTTCTTTCTAGCTCCATTCTTCGGACAATGTTTCAAAGCAAGCATACTGTCATGGAGGACAGCTTGCCACCCCAATCTTTCAATCATCTAGGGGCCAAAACAAGTCAGCTTGATGATTGATGCAAGCCGAGGAGAGCTTTTCCTGCCAAAACGACCACCAGGGATCACTTTTTTTCCTAATTTCCGCCGCATTCCCGCCGATTTCCGCCGCATTCAGCACTCCCGCCGATGTCCGCCGCAAACCGGGGGACGAACAAACAGAACAAATGCAGAAAAAAAGACACAGGCTGTGATGGGTTGATTTCGGCCGAGGGGGTTTATCGCACTCCTTTTGCGCAAGCAAAAGCTCTCTGCACCAAGGAGCAGCGGCAGTGCCGCTGGACCCCTTTGAGTAAATTGCATACCGGTCCAGCTTTGCAGGTTTCACCTCATGTTCCTAGGTGGACCTCACGCACAAAGGCTTGCGCAACCTGATTTGAGCCAAATGTCACAAGTGCGAAGTCGTGCAAGTTGTTGTCCTGTTAGCCGAGGCGAGCGGAAGTGAAAAAGAAAGTTTTGCCGCAACTCCAAAACAACGTCGCACATTAGGAAGAAATGCCACAAATCCAAGAAGGAGCCGTGTTGAATTGCGGCAGAAATTTATGCCGCAACGAATCCCTAGGTATGGGTATGAATTTTGAATTGGGATCGTGCTGTTCCAGTTACGCGGCTTTGCTTGTCCACCAGACATGTTTGAGGCCGTGCTCCATTAACAACCCATCGCCTTTTGTGGGCGCTATATACCTATCAGAATGCCAACAGCCATCCCTACGCCCTTGTGCCTTGTGCAAGTGCACACGGAGCCTCCCATAACCGGAGCACTCTAAGGGCAGGTTGAATGTGTGGTTTCCTCAAATGAAATCAAGGAGAGGTTCTCTAGCAAACATGCAACACATGTTCCTAGGCTCAAATGTTTTGCCAATCACTCCGATCTCAGACAAGATCTATCTGTTTGGGCCTAAACCCAAAGCCCGGCTTACAGCTACCAATTGGCTGAGGTCGGCACCCAAGGTGTGGTTCTTCCTCGGAAGGGCTCAACCAGATTGCGCGGTTGTCTTCCCCTGAGCAATGCCAAATATATACTGCTGACATCTGACGCCCACATGTTACCGGGTAGCTTTTTGGTCAACCCAAACGCTATCTTTCTAGTTGTGTGATGGCTCACCGTGATGCGTTCACACCAAGAATGAAGCATTTCTCGGCTCGCTGACGCCCTGAGTTGCACAACACTTCCCTCTAAATTCTCTGAGTATTGTTCGTTCTCTGGCCGAATGGTGGTTCCTAAGACCAACTGAAAGAAAAGCAACCAAAATCCCCAGCACAGCTTTTCCCCGCTCCGTGCGCGCCTAAGGCCAAAGCTCCAGGCGACTCGCGGCCTGGAAGAGGTCGGAAGACCTAGGTGGGCCAAGGCTTGCACTGACACACGCGTCCCTGACGGATGCAAACAAAATCAAACAAAACATACACTAGGTCCTCCAGTAGAGAGGTTAGAACAAGGGTACCAACTTTTTGCTGTAGTCCCTCCCCCAAAAAAGGGTAAAAGGGCACTGCTGGGGGGGCTAGTGCAAAACCAACTGCTTTTTCAAGGGATCCTCCTACATCAGCCGGCAAAGCTGCCTTTTTGACGGGCTCGAAGGAACCCAAATCAGATGTTCACATTCCGTGTCACATTTCGACCCGCAACAGTCAAATGCTTTTGGAGGGGGGGCACTTGAATTTGAAACAGCAACGCCCTGGGTGTTAATCTCTCTCAAAGTACTCCGAAACTGGCAAGGAGGCATGGGAAGGCCGACATGGGGCAACTGGTGTCCAATAAATTGAACTGCGCTGACACGGTGGAGGCTGTTCAATTTAAGGTCAGTCGCAGTGGGATATCATGTTGCCTGGGGCCCACTACAAAAAGGACAATCGATATTATGTGGCCTAAGGATTGGGGATTTACTTTGCACAAGCCAGCTGGATCTGGCCGCTGTTCTATCGGATCTGGGGATCTGTCAATGAATCGAGGCTACACCCAAACACAATTGATTTCTCAGTGGGTATCTCCACCAATGAACATACATTTGGCTTCCTTTTGAGAAACTTGTGAACTGTGTGGATTTTTGTTTTTCAAACACACCAGGTGAGATCTCGGAAAAAAAGCCCGGCAACTCAAACGTGGAGAACCCCCAGCCAAAACTATCTTAGCACGAGTGTGCCTAGTTTTGACAGCCATCTCCGACCTTCCCAGCCCCCACTGGAAAAAAAGACATAACATGGGCATCTGTCAAAACATAAGCCCCCAAATGGTGGCTGTCCAATTGGTTTCCCTTTAAACCAACCCAACTAAGAAGGGTACAAAAGGGAAGTGCACACGAGCCCTCAAAGGTTAAGGTTACAACAACACAAACTCACACACGCACACGCACACTCACACACACACACCCATATGCACTGCTCCATCTTGAGAGTAAGCCTCGCACGGCTCATAGCCCGACTTGGCCACTGCCCAAAGGAGAGCCGACCTCGGGACACAACTGTTGCATTGGCTAGGGAACGCTTCCAACAGGGATGGGTTCCCTTGGTTTCCCCCAAAATGAGGTCTGGAAATTAGGAGCCCAAGGTTGGGGTTATTTGCGCCTTCCTTTCAGCAAAGAACCTCACTCCATGGGTGTAGGCCCTATGGATCCTTTTTCAGGTGATCCAACTGCACAAACCAACAAGGGGTTTTCTTTGATCCAAGGGTTCCGAGGGCCTGGCAGCTGTGTGGCATCAAACTGCTCCAGCTTTCTGAGGGCCTGGCCAGCCATGCCAAAAGACCATCGCCCTTTGTGTTTACCAATTTCTTCCATTCACTTCTCAGTCCGCTTGCTGGTTTTCCTTCCCTAACACTTCAACTACGGACACGTTTTTCTGCCTCATCTCCTGAATCTTGTCCAAAGCACATCACCGGGCAAATTGACCCTGAGGATGTAAAAAGCGATGACCAGTTGCCGCGGCCTTTATTGACTTTCACATGGGCTGCTCCTTGACAACCGTCGGTGCAAAACCACCTCCTTTTGTCCTGGATGCACCACCCGAAAACAGGCCTCCTCGGTGCCACAGGAAACGAACAACTTGATGGGTGGACAATTCACTTAAAGCACGAGGAAGTCAACTCTGAAACTCAAGCAGTTCTGAAAATTGTCCAGCTGAACAAATACTTCCACTCCAACAATGTGGGTTCCCTGTTGTGGTGGACTAGGCGTGTTGAATGACCGAGTTGTACCTTTGGAGGGGCCTTGAGTAGGCTAGCAACGCTCCTGCTCCACATTGAGGCCAACGACCATCATTTTTGGGAGGCATCTCTGTTGGGACCCTCAGGTTAACTTGCAGGCGAGTGCTGTTAAAAAAGAAACGCCGCTCCCACGGACCACACGCCGCTCCCACGGAGCACGCGACCAGCACCATGCCAGCACCGCTGACTCCGAAATGTGAGCCACAGTCTGCCTGCAAAAGGCACGGCGCAGCGCCGGCTTTGAGATGGACAAACGGGGCGACAGAGAGAGAGAGAGAGCGAGAGATAAAGAGAGATAGAGAGATAGAGAGATAGAGAGATAGAGAGATAGAGAGATAGAGAGATAGAGAGATAGAGAGATAGAGAGATAGAGAGAGAGAGAGAGCGAGATAGAGAGAGGAAAAAAACAACAAAAGAGAGACTAATCAAGAGCGAGGACGGGATAGAGAAAGGCAGGGCCATACGAAAACACCCGCGCGCACGCACACACACACACACACACACACACACACACACACACACACACACACACACACACACACACACACACACACACACACACACACACACACAGACACACACACACACACACACACACGCACGCAAACACAAACACACACACACACAGACACAGACACAGACACACACACACACACACCAACACCACACAAACACACAAACACAGAAACACAGAAACACAGAAACACAGAAACACAGAAACACAGAAACACACACAGACACACACACACACAAACACAGACACACACAGACACACACAGAAACACACACAGAAACACACACACACAGACACACACACACACAGACACACACACACACAGACACACACACACACACACAGACACACACACACACACACAGACACACAGACACACACACAGACACACAGACACACAGACACACAGACACACAGACACACAGACACACAGACACACAGACACACAGACACACAGACACACAGACACACAGACACACAGACACAGACACACACACACACACACACACACACACACACACACACACACACACACACACACACACACACACACACACACACACACACACGCACGCACAAGCACAAAGACACAAACACAGAGACAAAGAGGCAACAGACACACAAACACAAAGACGCAAGGACAACCACATACACACCAACACAGGGACACAAAGACTTTCCGGGAGACACAAAGAGACACACACACACACACACGCACACGAATACGCACATACACACATGCACGGACGCACCCATCAACTGCAAAACTGATAGGGTTGTCAATGGCCCATAGTACCCAAGCCGATACCCATCAAGGGGGCCTACCCAAACCTAAACCAATAGCCATCGACTGAACAAATACCCTGGACATACTTTGGATGGGCAAAGTCCTGCTTCTGTTGGGAAGGATGAAAACCTATGAATACTCGGGCAACCCACTCAGTTAGTGCAAAATGGAGTCCACAGTATCCGTTGCTCATGTGGCGTGATGTTTCCACCAAAAGAAAACCCCACAAGAAAAACCCGCCAGTTTTGGGTGTCCTCCTACCTCAGGAACAAGCCAAGCGTGCCCCCCCCTGCCACATCCCCATGATTTCCCCAGGAAATAGGAGCTTCCTGGAAGCTGTTCTCAGAACCATTCTGTTCGCCCCGCGATTTTGGTTCATGTCCCGTCTCCCAAATCTCCTTCGGAGATCAGCCCCACCTCTCGGCTGCCGTAAGCGTCACCATGGACCACAGGAAATTCGCATGGTCCTGCTGGTGATGCCAAGGGGTCTTGATCGCTTGTGACGTGAGTAGCTGGCCCCCGATCGGGGAGACAGAAAGGTGCTTCAAAAAGCTACTCCAAACCACGTCAAGAACCAACAGCTGGGATATCCACGCACATTTATGGTCGGGGCTGTCCCCCCAACAACCTGCATTTCAGGCTTGCTGCCAAAATGCCCTGGCTGCACCATGTCAGTCCTGAGGATTGCACCTCGTCAGCTGCGAGAGCAAGCCAGTGCTCAACTGCGCCACTGACTTGGCGATGGATGCTTCACCTGCTCCGAAGTGGGGGGGGACCGCCTAGGGTATGTCCGTTGCAGACGCACCAGCAAATTCGACACAAGCAGCTTGCGGAGTGGTCCACAAAAACAAAGACAAACACAACCCCAAGAAACACACACACACACTCTCACTCTCACACACACTCTCTCACACACACACACTCACACACACACACACTCTCACACACACCCTGCGAGACTCACACCCACACCCACACCCTCTCCCACACCCACAGCCACACCCCCACGCACGCACGCATGCACGCACGCACCGCACGCACGCACACGCACACAGGAAATGTTCAAGCATGGCAGCAGTGCCGACATCCACTGAAGCGGTGGCGAACGCCTTGGGACAAGGCAAGAGTCACTTTGGGGCACGACTTTTCAATTTGGCGCACAAACATAACCTGGTGCACAAAACCCCTGTTTAAAAAACAAAAAAGCTTCTTCTGCTAAGGGAGCCTGCTCAGCAAACCATGAAAGATGGTTTGGCACCTCTTGGTCAGGGATCGGCATGTTGACCCCCAGGGTCCAGCAAACACACACACACACACACACACACACACACACACACACACACACACACACACACACACACACACACACACACACACACACACACACACACACACACACACACACACACACACACACACGCACGCACGCACGCACGCACGCCGCACGCACGCACGCACGCACGCACGCACGCACGCACGCACGCACGCACGCACGCACGCACGCACGCACGCACGCACGCACGCACGCACACGCACGCACGCGCACGCACGCACGCACGCACGCACGCACGCACGCACGCACACACACACACACACACACACACACACACACACACACACACACACACACACACACACACACACACACACACACACACACACGCACGCACGCACGCACGCACGCACGCACGCACGCACGCACGCACGCACGCACGCACGCACGCACGCACGCACAAACACACACACACACACAGACACACACAGACACAGACACAGACACACACACACACACACCAACACCACACAAACACACAAACACAGAAACACAGAAACACAGAAACACAGAAACACAGAAACACAGAAACACACACAGACACACACACACAGACACACACACACACACATTGGCAACAGTTAGGGGGGAAAGTTGCATGCTGGCTCAAACAGCTGTAATTCCAAATCCAATGAACTATTCTAGTGCATTAGCCGTGCAACTGCAACCAGCCAGCATGCATGCAGCGTTGGACCCAATTCTGGCCAGCCTCGGCACGAAGCACAACATATCAAGACAAAACGCCAGCAAGAACGTGAATGTTACCGAACTGATAGCTTGCCCTCGGATGGGCTTGCCCCCTTGCCATGTCAACTCTAAGCCATGCTTAGCTTCCTCCATCTGAAGCTATGGAACCGCGGGTGAACAAACAGGTACCTAGATCTGTCCCAATTTTTATATCATCAGCCCATCCGAAGGACACTCATGTCGAATATGAAATGGTGGCAGAAACCCACCCGAAAGGGAAAATGCGGAGAAACCCCATCAAAGCCCATCAGGTCCCGTAGGGCTCCCGGGCCCACAGCAAGTTGCACCTCAGAAATTCCCCCCCGAAAACCAGCAAGGCAATGGATTGCGGGCGCAAAATCCACCCCTGGGCAAACAAACGGCCGAGCTTTGATGCAAGCGGTTGGCTGACCATTGGCCTTCAGCAGTTCGCTTGAAATCACCAAAGCCAGCTGGGAAGGGATGGTTGGAGAAAAAACAACTCCCGGCAAACGAACATGGACCTTCCCCGCCACTCCACGGGGGAGTGGAAAACCCTTGGAGGCCTGGCAAACACCAAAACGACCTCCGGTTCCCAAGTCTGCCCGCAGATGCGGCTTTCACTTCTTGAAACCGCCAATGCGTCCACAGCCCAAAAGGGCTACTTCTTTGGCGACCAACTCGCCAAAGAATTCGGCTCAAAGGCCTCCAAGCTTGACACTCTCTGCAGAACTCGCGCATGCTTTATGAAAAGCCTTTACTCAGTTGCCCAAAGGACCTGGAACTAAAAGGTTAACCTTTTGGGTCCATGACTGAATATGGACCAAAATTGGAAAACCAAAAGGTCAAAAGGTCGGCTTTGAACAACTGAGTTTATAGATGGTAGAGCTGATGTTGGAGGGACCGTAACGCTCTCTCTGCTCACTGATGTTTGACCTGGCTTTGCTCGCTGAACCGGAGCAGCCCCCTTTCTTTCAAGTGCCTGCAACGGAACTGTCCATCTCTGAGACCCTTAGTAATTACACTTAGTTCCCGTTGCAACTTGCAAACCCACCCCCAACTCAAGAAGCACCTGACCAAGGAAACTGTGCATTTCTAGGGGTTCTCTCAGGTAGACAAGGCCGCCCCAGCGTTTCTACTCCAAGTTCCTACGCCAAGCTGCGCCTCTTGTGGTTTGAACTGGTGCTGCAGCGAGGCCCTGCGATCCGCAAATGCTCCCAGCCCCCCCTCCCTGCTTTTCCGTGCATTTGGGGTTTGTGCCCGCGTGGTGCAGCTTCACACAACAACACAAAGAACATCAAGTTAGCGTGCGGTGAGCCAGGGAACTCCCAACCCCTCAAGGATACTCTGGGCCAAGAGTCAGCTTTCAAGTAATTTGGGCTGTCCCTTGACGACCAGGCACAAGCAAAATGGATGTCTGAGAAGGGGCTGCCAGTTGGGGGCCAGTTAAGAGAAAAAGCAGATGCCCGGTACACCCGAAACTCAAGCATGACCCAGGGCTCCGCAAAAGGCTCCGCTAAGAATACACAGCCCTCAGCTGCCCTCTGACTAACTTGAAAGCTGCCCTCCGGCCCCTTTTGTGCAACGTGTCTGAGGCACTCTGACGACTTGCAACAAGGGAGCCCACCTAGGACTGACTTTAGATGCCTCGGAAGCTGCAAGCTGCGTCTCGCCTCGCGTACGCGCTGTGCGAGCCGGCCGTCAGCTTGGCCATCGCCTGAGTCACTGAGGCGACGCGCGGAGAAACCCCGAGCTCAGAGGGGCGGGGGAATGGGCGGTGCCATCCATTCTATGCATCCAGTCTTCACAAAGGAAGTACGGAACCAATCTTGCAGAGGGTGCCCCTCCATGTTTTAAGGGGATGGGCATGGTGCGCCGTCTGTGTTGGTAAGGTCGTCGTCAGTCTTTCCTTGGCTTACCCTCTTGAACAAAACAAAACGGGTGGCCTGTTCTGAGAGTATCCCGTATCCATCCCAGACACTCCATGGATATGGACGCAGGAATGTTCCCTCTTCAGATGCATGCTTGCGCCAAGACCGCCAACACAAGAGTAAATAGCCACAACCTTTGGAACAACCAAAAACGCCCTCTACAGCGTGGCAATTGCAGGTAGTTTGCACAGTCGCCGTGCAATGGACATGACACACATTGACACACACACACACACACCCACCCACCCACCCACCCACCCACACACACACACACACACACACACGCAAGTGAAGTCCGTCTCTCCGATTCCACTGGTCAACACCTCTGGCAGGTGGTCCTAAACGGGTCCATGTTGGATTGGGGGTCTGCGATTGGGTTTAGCGTTCCAGTGGATGGATCACACACTCTGCACCCCAAGCAGCCACGGATTCTGCAGTCTTGACCATGGTCAAGAAAAACAAAGTGGAGCCTGTTCGGACTTAGGGGAACAAGTTGCCACTAAAATGAAACTACGGCTCAGCCCTTTCAGGGCCATGGCTCATGAACATGTCCCCAAATGTCCCTGTCCCCCCCCCAACCCACCCTGCAAGGTGTTTCCAGGCGCTTTCTTCTCTTCGCACATTTTCCAAAACTCGGGGATGACCAGGCCGACACACTTGCTTACTTTCATGTTGGTGTCCCTGTTCAAGCTTAACAAACTAAATGAGCGATCCCGAGTGCAATGTAACAGGTCCAAGGGACGGTCGGCGTGTGTCACAAGTAGTTACTGGACCCCACTGAAATGGTCGGTGTCATGCTGGTCCCATGAACAATCCTCAAGAAGGGTCCAAGCCATGCTGACAGCGACTGAGCCAACCATCAGTTCGGTATACACAACTGGAGACCCTTTGATGGAACTCATGTACATGAGCATCGCATGTTGAGCAAGCCACCCGGTGGCGCCGCCTGCCTTGAACAATTCTTGAGAAACAACTCCTGCCAATTTCCATGTCACGGACGGAAAATCCATCGTTCTAGTGCTACATTCCCCATTCTTTCCAGCGATCCGAATCTTTCTAAAAAACCTCCGGAAACCCAGGCAAACGGTCGGTTTTTGGAAAGAACGATGGTTGAAAAGAATGGGGAATCAAGCCCTAGACTCGTAGGCATTGGTCGCCGAGTTGCCCAGGCCACGTTGGCCAAGTGCTGCGGTTGCAGCTCGGGGAGCCGACTTTCCGCCACGACGGCCTCGGATCTGAAGAAACGTGTGGCCTCCTCTCTAATACCTGTTCTTTTTTTGTTGGCGCGCTCCCTCAAATCTGGTTACGAAAATTGAAGAGGTAGAGTTACGCAGGGTTGAGCCTTTGTTTCCATTTCCCAGAGTTCCATTTGCGCCCATTTTTGACCCCACCAAAACAACAGTAACACCCAATCGAAGAGGGATCGCCTTTTGGGGGAGGACGCTTTTTTTCTTCGTCAAGTTGAGGATGGAACTGCCCAACAAACTGACCTCGGGCGTAGGGATCTCCTTCAGGCCCCCTTTGAGCTCCACTTGAGGCAAACCTGGTGGATTGGGCGTGTGTTTCCCTGGAAAGTGCTCCGGACCCCCTCTAAAACGGCACACGGATCCTGGAAATCAACCTGGGTTCCCGTTCAAAGCTTATGGCCTTGACCATCATTGGTGGGATCCTGGGCACGCTTGTTCCGGCTAGCGATCCGAGCTTGATGGCTCAACGCTGGCAATAGAGGGCCTGCATTGTGCGAACCTACGAAGAGCAAACACACCAGCCAATCGGAGAACATTTCAATGGCATGATACTCTTCGCAACGAGCCAATTCAGCGAATCAAGTTTCATGAAAACCGGTATGGCGTGGCAACGCAGTGGCACACGCAGCGCCCAATACCTTGGTTTGGAAGGACTGTGCACAGCAACGTGCCGGCTTTTGTGTGCCACACAGATGATCCAAAGTATGCATGCGTGTCAGCATCAAACCAGGGGGATAAACCAACCAAGTCACGTTGGCTAGGAAACTGATTGAATGGCCCAAGGCCATTGGTCACGCTTGTACTTGGCACGCTCTGCTCACCCATCTGTTTGATCAAAAAATAGGGGCCCCTGTTGGCATCCCCTTTCAGGGCGGCACAAAGTTCAAGGTGCCAGAGAAGGGTTCCAATGGAAGAAATACCCGTCCCATTTGGCTTCGGACAACTTCATGGGCAATTCAGCACCCGGTTCGGAGACGGCGGCACTTTGGGCCGCACCGAGGAACGAGGCTCTGCTCTGAGCTTCCCGACGACTTCTCGCGCCACCTCTGCGTTTGCCAGCACTTTGGCCAGCGACCACGCCTTGGGTCCGGTCCCAAGCCGCTTGGATTCCTGTACTTGTCTCGTGCCTGTCATGAGTCATCAGCTCCCTTTTCAGCCTCGTTTCCCTGCAGGTGCTAGGCATCGCCGTGCTGTACGATTGAACCAGGTTGATCGCGCAACGGACATTTGCGCATCATTGAGAATGGACAAAACCGCCCCACGGTGCTACATGACCAACCTTGCAAGGATCCAAACAGTTTGGCCACTTGGTGGCAGAAAATCCGCGAGCGGCCGGCTTCGCCCCGCTCCACAGCCCCATGGAACAGCTTGGGCTCAGCTCTACACCAGGAGCATTCCACTTATCCTTGTCCAACACTCGCATATGTTCCCACTGGTCGAACGCGGCGTTCCCCAAAGCATAGGCTCAGCTCGGGCCTTCCCTTCTGAGCGCCCCCGAATTCAATCACTGCGGCCTGGGCCACGCGCGTCTACGGCTCACAAGGCCTCGTCTCAAAGATGTAGTCGAACCTCAGTGACGGACAAGGCCGGGGCGAAATTGACGCGGCTAGCCTGGGACAAAAGGGCCCGGGCCCACCGACCAAGCGACCCTGCCCAAAGCATCGCACACCTCCAGAAGGTGTAAGGTCCAACTATTCAACAAAGCAAAAAAGGATCTCTGCTGTTGCGTTAGAGGCATCGAAGCCATTGCCATGTTGACAACGGCCAAAGGAGCAGTATGTTCAGCGAAGTGATTCGTTTAGGTTCAGTCAACAACCATGTTCCTCCCCGAGGAAGCGAGCGAGATTCGATTTCCATGTGAAACAAACACAAGGAGTAGCCTCAAGAGCCCTGAGACCTCCGCGAAACCTGCAAGGTTCCAATCAAAGCTCAAGAAGCTCAAAGGAAAAGGCCCTTGGTCCTGAAACATCGACGAATCGATCCCCGGAAAAGAGCTTCTATGGTTGCCAACAGCCCCTCCATTCGTGGACTCTCCCACAAATCGCGCCATACTAGGTGCTGCCAGGCTCTGTTTGCGCCTGTTCTCATGGAGCTCCTTTTGGGGGGGGGGCGCTGGACAACCATGCTGGGCGTTTCAAATCCATAAGCCCAATTGTTCGGGCAACCAGGTTAAAGAAAGGCTAGATTCCCTCTACCATCAAAGTCACCAACCAGTTTCTGACTTTGATATCATGTCTGTTGTGGGCGTGAAAACGCGAAAGAAACAAAAAAGACTAGCTTTCTAGATTGGATTCCCTTCTGGTTGGAGTTTACAGGGAAACCTACAGGGAAACCAACCAGCGCCTCTCGGCTCTTGGCTCCCGGGCTCCGGCTGTGAAGAGGGAACGCCAAAGGTCACCAGGTCACCAGTGCGCAGCACCTGCCAAACCAGCAACTGGATGCCCAAATCGAGGCGCAGAACATCAGATGTGGTGGGTCAAAAATAGGTATAGAACCCTGGTAGATGGAACCAGGCACTAAAACCTGCGGTTTCTTTTGGAGGTTTAATTTTGATATTTAGCCAACCCTGAAATATTCGAACATAGTTTTGAAGCCTATGGACGATCTTCTTGGTTCGCTTGAACCGAACGGAGGGATGCTAAGCATCGAGCTTGCTTGGTTGCATGGTCTGAACCCGCCACAAAGAAGCCAACAGGGTTTCTTCTCCATCCCTAGCATCGTAGGGCTTTGGCAGCCAAAGGCAAACTGATGAACACCTTATCTGAGGGTTTCTCAAATTAGGAATGGGTCCGGTAAAGGTGTTGGTTTCCTGTTGATCCCCCTTTAAATATGAGCCAGGGGTCCGCATTCCATGTCTAGAAGCATCCCATGTTCAGGCTCTCGGAGCTTTTCTGGCCAAGATTGGACGTTCATAGTCCGTTACCATTGATTTGCTCTGCTCTCGCCTGCTTGCCGTTAATCCGCTCCCCGTTCACGTGCACTCCGTTGAGCGAGCTCTGATCCTCAGAGCGATTTCGAAAGATGCAGGCCTTGCTGTAAAGCAATAAAAACCAAGTACAGAAGATGGGGGTTTCCTCCCCTGCAACCAATGGACCGCGACACAAGGGGCCGGGGCGGGTGGGTGGTTGATCTGATGATGGTTGTGATGAAGCCGGACCCAAACTGGGCAACTAATTCAGAGATCAACAGACCAAACTGGACATGTCAAAGATCAACAGGCTTGGGGACTGAGACAATACAAACAAAAATGCTTCTCAACCCGGGGTGCATCAGCAGAAGCATGGGCACCACGGAAACAAGCAACCCAACAGCATGCCAATAATCTTCAGAAAGCACGTGCTTTGTTTGAACAAGAGTCTCGTCAGTCAGCATGTGGGTATAGGGTGTGTTGATTCCCTCAGTCCGACTCAGTCCCGGAGAGTAAGGCTGATTTCCACTGTTTGGTATCCTTACGCATTCCTCAGGTTCCAAACCTTCCGGACAACTTAGTGCTTGTCTCAAAGGGGGACCCACGAAATGGTGGTTGTCCTGGTTTCCCTGCAACGACCCAAAAGGTCCCCTAAGCAAACCAGCTCTTATTGTTCCAACACCTAGCCTCTTTCCATGCACAGGAGGGTTGTGAAAACCATCATCTCCGCCGTCCGTTTCGTGGACATGGCCGGAAAAGGGGGGGGTTGCTGCCCCTCAGTCGGGCGCGGAATGAACGCCTCAGCTGCCGACTTCCACGGTGCACAGGTCATCCTCCAGGAGAATCAGTGCATGGCAGCGCCTGGCACTGCACGAAGTCCCTCGGATTATACGAGCTGACTTGAGTGGAAAGCCAAAAAAAAACACCACGAACTGTTTGTTTACCACTGAAACGAACGAGCCCACAACAAGAACTGTTGGTGTTATCACTGAAAAGAACAGGTCTGCCCATCAAGTTCTTTAAAGTCCAGACAGTCAGGGGGTGAGCTACCCTCTTTCCAACGGCCATGGAAGCTGATCGCAGTAGGAAAACTACTTCCCACTTCCATGACTGTTGGACAAAAAAAACATGTGGCAAATGTCTGGGCTTTCAGTGGGCATCCGAAGAGGTCTTATACTGAAAGTTCGAAACACGTGCGCCCGCAGCATGAATGGACCCATCCCGTCGCTGGCACAGGGGGCTTGCGTGCTTGCCCATCTCTGCCCCGAGGTGCTGACGAGATCATCTGTGGAGTCATCATGGAGTCAAGGATGACCTCGGCACGAGGTCACAGGAATTCATATTTAAACCTGACCGGCGACTTTTAGATGTGAACAGGCTGCGAATTCTGGCGGATAAGAATGACCCGAACAAAACCCCTTGCCGCTGCATGATCCTGAATCCTTTCTCTTCCTAAATGGCCAGCGGAGTGACTCTCTCTTCCCTGCCCTGCCAATGCTCAACTGACAGGCATCAAGAGCGCAAGCATGCGCAAGCAGCTTGAAATCCCAAAAACCTCTGAAAAAGATTGGGTGCAACTGCAGAGCGGCATCCATCCAGTGGCGCTTGGTTCGGACATGCTTGACGGTCGACATAGGCCTTACTCTCATCGCTATGAAACCACGGCCCCTCTGGGTTTTTGGGCACCGAGGTCAGCTGGGCTCACAGCATCGCAAGCATCACCACGCCCTCAGCTTGCTGGGCGCAAGCTCCGGACCCGTTTGCTGCATAGCCATGCGTACGGTGCCATTGAAGCAAATCTTGCCTGTCACGACCCATTTCTATTTACAACCAACAGGGCGGCATCATTAATTCATGACATGTCAAAGCCTGTCCAGCCCGTTTTTCCCGTTGTACGTCGTCCGTTGAGATATGACCTCATCGATCTGTGGAATCAAAGGGCTCTGCCCCAAAAGCATTGAGAAAATGATGTCAGGGTATATGGTTGGGGATTGGGTGGGGTTCATGTCCACCAACCACTTGTTCCATGACTTCTTCCGGTCTGCTGCCGTGTTTTGGTTGCTTTTCCTCTGAGACGCAGGGAGGAACATCAAAGGCATCAGCTCTGAGCAGTGTGGGCCCTGGCCGATCACTGTGCGGTCCGTGAAGTAGATCACCTGCGGCCTGGTTCAATCTGGATCGAGACAGGAACAAACCCGACATGTCGCTTCAAGTTCCCAAACTGGCGAACAAAAGGCTGCCCAAGCAAAACTTGCTGGCTCACCTGCTGTAGCTTGATCATTGCCTCATTGTCATGTCAATGTGTTTACGAAACCCACTTTGGCAAAGGAATTGGGAAGGTGGCTAGGCATGACATGCAGGCCATTTGACTCTGATAACACAAGGCGGCCATAGATCCAAACAGGCAAGCGCAAAGCATGCGTACATTTTCAGATTGCTCGAGACTGTTCCTACTGTCTCCAACCAGGAAATGGAAGCTCTCCTGAGCAAGGAGGAAGGCCATTTGCCAGGCACTTCAGGAACCGGACGGGATGGAATTGCCGAGGGATGAGGCCCCTAGCGCTTTTGCGGGCTGAAACCTGGGTTGCCGGCTGCATCTTTCCGCCATAGATGCACTTTTCGTGCCTGCCAAGGCCGAAATCCCAGCTTTCGCACACCCCTTGCCCACTGGGCAAGCTGCAGCTTCAAACATGATCCCAACCCGAGCTTGACAATCGCAAGCACTGTTTGGATTCAAGGTCTTTGCCGGAGGAAACCACGCTGCCTGCGCAGGCGTGCAAAGCAGCCATTCCTTAGCTGGCGTTGTGCAAAGCATAAGCCCCTAGAGAACCCCTCCAAACGATTCAGAATGCGAGCTCTTTCCATCCTCCAAAACGATTGTCAGAATGTGAGCTCTTTTTATGTGCCAAGTCCCCATCTTTGACCCAGGCCGCGGCCAGTTGGGCTAGTTTGAGCTTACCCGCTCTGACAGGGTTCCTCAAATATGTCCCTTGAAACATCCCCCTGGCAAGCAAAGACTCCATGAAAGTTTTTGCCAGAAGGCCAAACCACTTTTGTTTGACTCAGCGAACTATGGGTATGGCTCAAAATGAAACCACCAGGAATTGGACCGTAGGAGTTCCGTGTTTCCATCTACCAGGGCCATTTTGGGGTTCGCCAATTTTTGACCCAC